ATTTTAAACAGATATTGAATAACTTTCAGCATCAAATAATGTTTGATGTAATTACAAGCAATTTGCCTACCTAAGGACATGTTAGCAATGGAAATCCAGTACTTGGATAATTTGTACTGAAGACAACAGCATTTGACAGAACTCCTCAGGTCCATGGTGGAGACTGCAACAGTGGGGAGAAAGTGCAGCTATGTAAGTACAAGCTCTGTGGCTGCAATGCTGTGGCACTTTCATCACTATATACAAGTGTAACAGTAAGGTCTGAAAGTACAGTTTATGTCTCAGAGTACTGGCTGAACTAGCCAGATTAGCTGTTTGACACAGGCTTGATTGAAATAGGCACATTTTAATATGTTAGATGTAAACACTTCTAAAAGGATGAATACTGAAATAAAAGTAGCTAATAAAAACACTGACAGATGCATATCTGGAATCTTATTTTAATAGATACATTAAAGGCAGAGAGCTGACATCCCTTCTCATCAGTTCATGCAGGATATATTCAGAATTTGTTTGTGATCTAAGTTGTTTTCTGACATCTGATTAAATATTGAAACATGTCAGGCCCCAGTTAAAGATGACCTAGGGCAGCTTTAGCTGTACATCAAACCAACACAGGATTTTAACTACAGCAATGACTATTCTTTGATAAATCAATACAGGTATTTTCTATATATGAGTTTAAAATTATCGGGGAAAGGAGTATCAGGAAATATTATCCTGCTGTATTTGTAACAGATTAGTATTTCCCACTGTTTTCACATTTCTTCTCTAGGAATTTAGTCCTGGCCTCTCTTCTCCTTGTCCCCCAAAGAGAATATCAGAGATATTAAGTGAGATGCTGTTAAATATTTATAAGGCTAATTAATAGCAGCTAAAACATTAGAAGATAAATGTTACACTGTTGCCAGCAAAGCAAGAAATCCAGCAATCGCAATTCCTCCATTTAATACTCCAATGTATAGTCACTTGGATTGTAAACTCTGAAAATGCCTTGTGTTCCTGCATCATGAGGGCAAGAAAATCCTCTCATCAATCCGGATCAGAAAAGCAGAGTGATGCTGAACACGAAGGGGCAGGAAGAGACAGATGGAGATTGGCTGCTTGCTACTTATTGCAGAAAAAAGTGTAATACATTTCTAAACTATCTATTTCTGGGTACGACTGAAGAACCAGATGTCAATTTTGATAAAAATATCCTATGGTACAAAACTGCTACAGGTCCTGCTACCAGACAAGGTCAGGTGGGGTCTATAAGCTAGTCTCATGGTTTCTCTGTTTAGGGACTGAGTAGATAGATATGGAAAGACAGTCTGATAATGGATCAGGCACTTTACTAAAACATGACATTCTGGATACCTGGATGGTACACAGATTTATTTTGTTCTCTGAAAAGTTTGTCATTTAACTGCACTTTTAAAAAAACAGTGCACAAAATACTGTTTCTGAGGAGCAATTTCAGGTGTTCTGGAGTACTGATAAAAGAAATTTAACTTACATTGGAGTTTGTGTTTATTCTGTGACCTGTTTCCCTCCTGCCTTACTGGAAAGAGAAGTCAGATCCCTCACCTCAACAGCAGTGGAGCAAGCGGTCCATGAGGCTGTCCCACATTATATGACACAGGAGAGAATATTTTACTAATCAGGACTATAAGGGAGAAAAATAAGGTTCTTAGCCCATGTATCTACAGATCTTGCTTTAAAAAAAAACCAAAACCAACAAACCCATACACTTATCAAAAACATATTCACGGAGATAAAGAGACCACATTGCTTAATGTTGTGTACCAGCCTAGAATATCAGCCTTTTTTGAGGAGAGAGAGAAAAAAAAAAGAGGAAGAGACTATTTAAAATTTCTATTTCTTTCTACGGAAGATGGTCTGTCACAAGGGAATAAGGTACAGCAGTTTAGTGAGTCCTCGTTCCTCGACTGACATGCCCTAGTTGGCTGTGTGCACGCTGGGAAGCAGCATGTGATATCGATAACCACAACGCAGGAAATGCCAGCAAGTGCACTGTGGCCAAAGCTACGGGATTACCTGCTCAAGTGACACATTCCAGGCAACTATTCAATCCCTTGCTTAGTTGTGTCATTTCAGGTAGCTGGACCTCTCCCATAAGCACAGGTGCGTTTGGCTGGCACACCTGGGAGGCACGTCTAACATCTGCTTCAGTGTGGGCAACGGGACTCTAACAAGGTTCCAGTCGAATATGATGAGGCTACAATCTGTGTTATGGGAAAAGAAATCAGGTGGTTACGATCCTAAGATAGGTGCAGCAGCCAAGTGATAAGCTGAATCTGCCATAATGCAGTACGTATTTGAGCAGATTATACAGAGGCATCTTAAAATTAAAGAAGGATGCCATTTTTTTAAAAGTATTTTTGGAGCCTCACACTGATAGGAGTTGCTTAGCTTTGATGTGACAGATTGAGATCACTGGGAGTCAAACATTCCATGTACTCTGCAAAACCTGACAACAGCCATAATACCAGCTTTAACAGGGACAGTTTTCAGATGCCGTGGATGGGTAGTTGTTTTCTTATCTTCAGGGACTGAAAGATACCACAAATGTGGCATTTTCTCAGTACCAGGTAGTAGGGATCTTTTCTCTATTGGTGATCCAGAACTAGTAGCCCCTTTCTTTTTTCTAAATGCTGAATATAAAGCTGTCAGGCACTGAAATAATAAGCCAACAAAGTATTTCTTCCCATCTGTTAACCCCTTAAGAATCCTACATCCAGTCAAATCAATTTAAATACCTCCTCATACATACTGCTGGTCAGGGCCACCTGTCACACAGTTCACATCACTCCGAAGAGCTAGGCCTACACCAGAGTTCTGTCAAGACTGTCAACAGTCAGATGTCTATCCCGCGGTATGTACGGCAGTGCCTAGCAACCCTCGGGGTAGTCACAAGTGGAGAGGAGAGCTGTAATTCTCACAATATGCAGATAAGAAAATTATTGTCATGGTATATATTCAACAGCAGGTTTATGCACATTAATCTGATTTTTTTGTTGTTGTTCTCAAATATAAATGTTACAACTAAAAGGATATAGGAAAAATTAAGCTTGGTTTAAACAAATGTTATGCACATCTACAACAAACAGCAACATGTCTTTAAGGATCAAAGAAATCTTTCTCTGTAGTATATTCTTCCCTGAAATCCTGATGGTGTGAAAAGAGAGGGGCTCTGAGACATTTTTCCCATGAATGTGTTTCAGTGATCATGTGCATTTTGTATGTAATATACATCTGTATGACTGGCGGTATCCTATGGCATGGATGCCTGCATTAAGGGATTCTGTGGTTTGTTTCACAGGAGTTAAAAAAAAAAAAAGTACATGTTTCAGTTTCCTCTTAGTGATAGAAGTGTGCTAGACTGTGAATGAATAGCAAATTACATACATGGATTACATACCATGCATACTAGTGCTCTCCATCTCTCTCTCCTTTTCATCTATTCTTCCCACAGAAATTCAGTTTCAACAGTTTTGAGGGAGGTATCTCATGAATCACAGTTTTTGTAGAATGGGTTTTTCCATCAGTGACCTTTACAAGAGGTACATTGGCAAAAGTAAAATTGCTTTTCTACAATACTCACCATCCAAGATGCTCACACCATTTTATGAACCAAATAGGATTTGTAATCTCACCGTGAAGTACAACATGAAGTGGGTGCTCCACATTTACCCCTCCTACACTACTCTTGTAAGAAATAGGTATGTCTTTGACCAAATGTAAATGCAATGTCAAAGTTATTAACATAATTATTAATTTAATAAAATAAATAAATAATCAAGCAGTTCAGCTATTTAAAAGCACTTGTGCTTGAAAAAAATTACAGCACAGATGGCACAAAACAAAGAGCTCGCTCCTGTTCTAATTAAAATCTAAACTCTGACTCACATAATTGCAGACAGAATCACTCCCAGGTACATTGACAGAAGAAGATCATTTTCAGCTCATATAGATTTCTGAAGTGCTTGGGATAGCTAAGTTACATATCTCACTTAAACAGCTGAACTGGAAATGCTGACTGTCTTCTTGACTATGAAAATATTCTCCCGCATCTTCACTGAAGTGCACACAGAATTCAAGTCAGGCAATTTCTAGAAATCAAACAACCTTTTAGTACTTTCACATCTAAATGAGGCAGAACTTTTTAATGTGAAAAAAACAGATAAATCTTTATAATGTATTTGAATCATTAAAGCATTTTTCGGTTTCAGTGGCCATTCGCATGTATTTGCTGGGATTGATAAAACAATTTTTTTTCTATTTAAATGTCACAGTCTACTGTTTACATGCAGAAAAGGAAACGCAGTGGGAAAAGCTGGAATCTTATCATTAGTATTAGAGAAAAAGGTACAAGGCAGTAGCAACAGTAGTTCTTTGCTCATAAAATGCAGAACTAAAGCATGTAGTATTATCTGTAACATCATGTCACATTTGTTAGTTACAGGCAAAGGTAGTTCCTAGAGCAGCAGATTGCTAAAGGGGGGGAGGGAACAGGAGGGGGTGAAAAACAGTCATGCTCTCACTGCCTACTTTGCCAGTAACAAAGCCCTGAAAATCAGGCGGGCTCCTGCTGCTGCAGGAATTACTGAATATATGGGACCGTGGTGGGAGCTGTTACTCTCAACAGCAGCATCAGCTAACATTCATCCTTCCCCCAGCACCAGCAAAACCAGCAAGCCTCTTTCCTCCAGCGCTCCCTCCCAGCCTCATTCCTATTGCTTCACCACCTGTAGCAAAATTTCAATTCTGCTTTCCGTGCTGAGAAGCTAGATGGAAGCTAGCCATAAAGTTTGCCATAAAGAAATACAAATAAAAGTTTGAAAGGTATTTACTACAGTATGGCCCTAAATGAAAAAGCTAAACTTTTAAGTCTATGCATTGCCTTTTTTAGACTAGAAAAGGACTTTTGTGATGGCAAAATGGAAAACTGTACCTTGTATTCTTGCCATAAAATCACACTGAATGACATCAAAATGTATGTTCACATGCAGAGGATTTTTAATGTATGTTTTTTCCGTTGTTTAAAAATACCGGGGCATGGCATGAAAAACAATAGACATGTAAGCCATATGTTGATAAAACACATTAAAATATTTGTCATTTATAATTATAAAAAATTAGTTATTACAGGGCTTGTGAAAAGTACTGGATTGACAGTCCTAGTAGTATGTAGACCCAGTGAAGAGTTTTCCCTTAATATTCCCAGGTGTACGGTTCAACCCTACCTGAAGTGAAGGGACTACCTCATGATGAACATAAGCAGGTTTCCATGGTGCATTCTGTTGCATTACATACTCATAGTATTGCCAATGCCCTCTGTGTCAACAGGACTGTGTTGAATACATACAGCCATGTGGAACATTCCACACAGGTGCTTAAATTATAAGAACACGTCATCCTTCTTATCTGAGCAGGATTTAAACCAGGAGCCCAGAGATGAAGTTATTTTATTGCAACAGCAGTAACTTTTAGTATGTTTCCTACTACGTCACACAGAAGGATAGTCTCTGTCCAGAGGAATGTACACTCAAAGTATGAGAAGAAAACACAAGAGATGGATACAATACTGTGACCAAATTAGCCAACGTAAAAAGCATTGGGTACAATACATCACTCTCCAAATAAAAGGCTCCTCCCTAACATGTAAATGTATCTTTCAGTGATTTTCTCATGAGACAGACAAGCTATTTCCAGTTTTGAAATTTGCCTGAAGTATTTGGAGGGCTCCTATCTTACTTGTTGATGGTAAAGGCAGAGTAAGGGCATACTTCACATCACGGTGGCAGATGTTGCTTTTCAGAAATTAACCACTTTGCACTCAGACATCTCAAAGCCTCTTGATTCTACTATTCATGCTGAGCTGCAACTCTTTATCTCTAGCATCTCCTTTGTAAGCTCCAGGACACTGAAAATCAAAAAAGCAAAGAGAAATATTAAGTCTTTTGACACACTTTGATTTGCAGTCTTAAAGACTAAGTAGAACACTTAAGCATTTGGTTTGCTTAATTGGAATTTATACCTTAAGCCCACCAGTGCTCTTGATAAATTTTAGCCTGTAAAATAGTAAAATCCAATGAAAGTTAATGGCAATATTCTTTTAACTGGAGGTTATCAAAGTGGTTGTGGAATAAAATCTTATCAATAGACTGGAATAGGCAAAATACAGATTAATACCAACGTGTTCTGAATAACAATGCAGTAATGGATTGGTGTTACATGGAATTTTAAATATGATTTTCTTAATGTTAAGGTTGGCTTTACAGTAAAGATAAGATAAAGTGCTTTACCCTTGATTAGATTCTAAGATAGTCTAACAGAGGTACAAAACACCTTTGTAATACAGAAAAATTATTCGGAAATTGTTTTCTGTATTCCAAGCAGGAAGAGGGTCTCATAGTCCTTCACCCTGTGTTGTTCACTGTTACAGGTGAACTCTGTTCCTTTTATAAAGGTACCTCTTGTTGAAAATATAACTTACCTTAAGCTTAACAATCATGGATTCAGAAAGGCAGACACAGTGTAAACACAGCACACAACCAGATGCTGAAGCCACTCAGGCAAGGAGCACCTGAAAAGCAGAAAGCAGTGTCACAACACAGTCCAGGTCTAGTATAGACTTACGCACCCCAAAGAGGTTTCAATCCTAATTACATTCAGCTGCTCAAAAGATGACAGTGGCCAGAACGGTCACTTCCAGTTTAACACACACAGCTCTGAAGAGAAGCATTTCATAGGGGCGGTACTCATTAGAGATAAGAATAATGAATGAGAAGCTCAAGAACTCGGGTGATATTTATCCAGAAAACTCCCTTTGGCATATCTATAGAGAGAACAGGTCGCATGCACAAGGGAGCTGGGCTGAGAGCACCGCTTGTGCTTCTGGGAAGGTCTGCTCTAATTCCAGCAGGGGCATCATAGCAATTTAGTTCTCCTTACTCCTATTTTAGTACCTCACCATCCCTCCTTCTTCTTCAACAGCTTATGTCTCGCTGATGTCACTAGAGGCAACAATATTTGCTGTCTGATAGGGATAAATTCTCAGCATTGGCTTGACTATGTGCGAACTCTTACTCATTGCAGAATGTCCATTAACATACTCGTCAGGATAACTTGCCCAGAATAAACTGCAATATGGAGAAATGTTAAACCACTGAAGCATACGTACTAAGAAGCTTTAATTCCAAATAGGATGGAAACAGCAGGAAAAACTATTCAAGGGGTCCTACAGTCTGGATAAAGATGCTAATTTACCTCAGTGCTACCTCCTTTCACTTGCAGCTCTGCAAACGAGGTTCTGCTGCAGATAAAGGGTGTGATCTGAAGGTCCAGAGATGGAGAGCCCTGCCTTAAATTTAGGTAAAGAATATGGAAAGAAGGAGAGGCAAAAACTCTGTTCCAGACTACATTTTACACAAGCTAGTGTTTAGCATAGTGTAATACTACTAGCAGCGCATAGCTGCTAATGCCATCTGACAGTCTTCCTCCATCATCTCTTGCTGTGGCTAAATCCAACAACATCCTTGCTGTTTGTCTCAGTTGGCCATGTGATTCAAGGCATGAGTTAAAAAGTTGATTAGAAAATTCACTGTAACCCACCCTCAAAATAGAGGTCTGATACTGGTGGATGCTGTGAGACTGCACCCCACTGGTGTGTGTCCCCTTCCCTTCTAAGCAGGAGGAGGGAGCGACTCTACTCACCGCTTGCAGCTGGTGTTTGCACTGCCTGGGTAGTGCTTGCACCGCTCTGTGTCTCTGGGGTGCTTGTCCTGGCTCCGTCCAGTGCCAGCTGAAGGCTCTGGAGCTGTGATGCACTCAGATGGTCACGCTGCGATCTGGTAACCATGGCGGCATTTTCAGGGCCCAGGTTTGCTATTTGTTCTGGGGACAATGCCTAGGAGGAATAAAAGACAGAAAAATTGGTTTAGGCTGTCAATTATATAAGGCAGGTAAGGAATCAGAAGTCAGCACTGTCTTGCATTTGGAATGAGGGGAAGTAGCCTTCAACACTGTGTTGCTATAAAAGAGCTCAATAGAGCTTAAAAAAAATCCCCTGCATTTACTTCACTGACCACTCATCTATCTTTCACCCTTCTCTTTGCTGCTGGGATCTGACAGCTTGAGAAACTTCCTATGCCAACACTGTATTGGACACTTCTTCAATATATTGCTGGAGTTTAATTTTCCAGCCATTTCTTTTCTGATTTGTTCAAAGACTGATGACATTGTGCATCCTCTTGTGTTTTCATTTTCTTCCTCTTACATCTGCTCCCAAGCAACCTCACTTGAGCCTATGTTTGAGCTTTGATTACAGTTAGCAGCAGAGCAACGAGATGAAAAAAACCCCATGCTTTAATCTCATTATTCAATTTTCTCTTTTAGACTGAAAATCTTCCAAGTTTGGTCATATTAAAACTTGTGTTAAAAATGAAACATGGCAATCATAATCTTATGGTAATTATCTTGTATCACACAGCAATTAACTAGTTTGTAAAGCCTACATATATTGGGCATGCTGGATTGCTTTGATTCTAGTTAGCATTCTGCAGTCACAAGAATTTTAGCCCTCCTACACAACAAGCCTTCTCTGCTGCAACAATTCTGCATCCAGGTTCTGCTTTAGAAAGACTAAATTCCACTTCCAAGTAGGTCAGAGAATGGACTAAACCTTTCTCAATTTTTCATTGTCTATTAAATGGTGTGCTCTTTTAAACTGAGTAAACTCACTGAAATGCCTACAGGTCCAGAAATTTTGAACCGAGCCTCTTCTTAACTCAATTAAAGTCCATAATACAATTTAATTTTTCATAAATCATAATGTAATACATTACATTACATACAGCTGTAAAATGAATTTATACAAAACCTGTACAAAAACAATATCTGCTTTGCATCTTTCAAATACAGAAAACTCTTCTGAAAAGGTGCCCTGTTATTGGTTAAGCACATTTTGTAGTATCATTACTATTCTTACTAACAAAAATGCATGCTAGTTGAAAGAAATTCCACAAGGTGCTATACATCTTCAGTTTTGCCTGTTTTTCAAAGAAATAGTTTCACTAAGGACATTTCAGGCTTCTCTAAACTGTGGTACTGTGCAGAACAGTTAGTGTTCAAGTTTTTCTATTTTATGGAAGCTGACACAGTTAACTATCTGTTTAGTTCATCTGTCCATAAGTACATTCCTTGCCCAAGCATCTGAAAGAGACCAGCCTAAGCAGAATATTAATCTTTTCACTAAGTCAAATAAAGTCTGGGGAAATGATCTCAAGATCCATGTTCTAATTTCTGGTCCACGTTCAGAACTGCTGTAATTAGATGTAATTCCTTTCCGATCTGTATCTGCCCGTACAATCTGTTTTTCAGAGCTAACTCAGGAGAATGCTGCCAGATTTTAGGATAATAAAAAAAACTTACACAGTCAGCAGAGAAATTTGTAGCTATGATAGCATCCTTGCAAATGTTAATAAATAGAAAAGAAAACACAGATCTGAATACAGTGTTGGAAGAAATAGAGTCCATTCCCTGCTTTCTTTCCCTAGATCTTGCTTTTTCCTTGGGATACATTCAGAGGAATAAATAAATTTTGTCTAGCACATTTTATGGGCATCACAAATACAGATGATATAGCTGAAAGTTAACATTTCAGATCCTTGACTGCCTCTCATTTAACACACCATAGAAAAATTCTTGCTGAAACCCAAAACCAAACTATAAATCAGTACTACATTTTGTTTACACTAGAGTAAAAATGATAGAAATCTGGTTACTTCTTTAGTAATCAAGCTCTTACTTGGAAAATTTCAGGAGGTATACATCTTATTGCTATTGGCTGGAAATACGGCATCAAGTTTTTATCAAAAGCTTTTAATTCATCCTCATTCAAACCACCTAAAAAAAACCCAATAGGAAAAAACCTCAGTTAATATTCCTTTTTAATAGATTTATTTTTAGGCTAATACAAATTTTAAGCATTTATACACAGTATCTAAGAAATGGTTTGCTCCAGTGCGTTAGGGAGAGAGATACTGGGGGTTTTTTTCTTTCTTTCATTATATTCCAACATTACAAATCATCTGACCTTGACCATTGGTATGGAATGTACTCTACCTGAGTTACTTTATCTTGGAAAAGAGACAATGATAAAAATCAATAAAATCATAAGCAGTGTTATTAGGGAATGCTTGTTCATAGCCTCTTCTGATGCAAGATTAGGGAGCACAAGCACGTAATGGGAGTTAATTCTTCATCCATTAGGTACTTACAGCGTGGAATCACTGCTGCAGGCATTGGGGAAGCTCAAGTTTCTGAGAGTTCGATGTGCAGTTAAAGGATCACAGAGAAAAGAGTCCATGAACAAAATTGTGTGACCTCTGGCTCAGGAAGTCTCCAAGCCTGTGAGAGCACTCTGGAGGTTATCACTCCAGGCTAACCCTGCTCTTCCGCTCTTCCCTGGGAGCCCATTCTTTCCACTCTTGGAGGCAGAATGCTTGGTCAGCTAGAGCACTGCTCTGACCCCATACAGCCACTCTTGTAGCAGCATTGTTCACAAATAGTGAGTGGGTCTGAAATCCTGGTTGGTTTTGCCCTCCTCGATTTACCCTTTCCAACCTACAAGACCCAAACGACTTCAGGCTGTGCTCCCCAAGGTCGGTTTGAGCAGATTCAGAGAACCTTATGGACAATACCACAACTTCTCCTCAGTGCTAATGAAATTGCTGGATGTCCATCCCTGCAGGTGACTCTTCTCTGGAAGAAATGTCTTTTGCCACTCTAGAAAAATGCACTGCTATGTGAACCTGTTTCTTAATGCTTAATAACAATGCTTCAGAACCATCACCATCTGGAGTCTGAATTTTGTTACCTGCTATAGTACCAATCTCCTGTAAAATAGAGCCATTCCAGCTGGTAGCAGTGCCCAACACAGATTCTGTCATCTTCTTAAACTGTCTCAGAACAGGGGTGCTACAAAACAACAGGCCAATTCTTGCAACAGCAGCACTGCAAAAGGCAACAAGGTTAATGTTAAATGCTGCAATTACAAGCAATGCTAAATATGCCCAGGATATACTTAGTTTGCTGTAAGAACACTGTAAACCCATTTTCAATTTAAAATATATGTACACAAATTGCATACAAATGTTTACTGCTTTGAGCGAAAACCTGGGTTTCACAATGCACCACTTAAATGGTGGGATATAAATGGCAGAGGAAACTTAAAATAGAATACATTTTAAACAACTAGTGTACACCTTCTATAACAGTTATTGCCTTTCTAAAAGCAGTTAAAATGTAAAAAAGTGTCCTTTAGGCTCTGGAAATCTTGAAGGAAAACAAATTGCACAATAAATTTTATCAATAGATACTAATAAATATTTAATTAAGTATTAAATGCAGTACCTGAATTCAGCAGTCCTTATGGACATTATTTCTGTGGAGTTCAGAGCACAGAGAATAGCTCCTAATCCAACTAAATCAAAGCTTTTTAGTGTACTGATCGTCTGGCCAGAGTCTTCTAGAAAACCTTGCAATATAGATCTTGCCTACAAAAGCAGTAAGATATTATGCATGAGCAGAGTAAATATACTTGAAGATTTTGTTACTAGAATCCCAAAATCTCATGAGAAGCTATGGACCACATATAATCCTGAGCCTCCCCAATGTAATTAATTGGAGTTTTGCCATGGCCTTCAGGAGAAGCGCTGTCACCACCTATACGTGACACTTAAAAAGGGCACTGTTACACAACCACTTCCCAAGTGCTAGTGACCTGAAAACACTCTGTACCTCTTCTGCTGTGTCACAGGGAAACACTTCACCAGAAGAAACAGGTGTTGAATTGCCTAGCAGAACTGCCCATGAAAATGCTAGAAGATAAATTACTCAGGGGGATCGATATGAAATTTTTAGTTTTTCTAATACTCAGGTTGTCTTGTCTTATTTAAGTATCATACATAGGTGGTGATCTGTGTTTAATTTTCAGATGTGAATGGGATATTGGTGTCAAAATGCCTTTTCAAGCCTAAGTCGTTTAGGATGGTGTTCATTCTAAACTAATAATTTAAAAACTGTGTGTCTACAATAGCTTAAGCCTGCCACCAAGGCTTTCTCCAAAGTCAGTGAAAGAAACAAGCTTCTTCCGAGATTTCCTAATCTATCCACTATGCTGAGCCTCAAATGACTAGCTCAAACTGTCTGCCTAACTTTTAGACAAGTTAGGCAGGATAAATCTTTTTTAACTAGCTATTCTTACTGACAGCGGGAAATCTTAAAAGCCAACTAGTATTGTATGAAATTCTTCCAGGTGCTTCCTTCTGATGGTGCTCTTCAGAACAAGAATCTATTAAAGAGAGATTTGTGATGTTCTGCTAAAGCTGGCTGCCACCATGCCAGCACCTGTGCAGCTGAGATGCCCTGATGGTATGGGTCACAGTCAGAAATACACTCAGTTGCATACAAATAAAAGCTTTGGGCTCCTACTATGAAAGTCCAATTGACACAACTAGAAATTATTCATGGAAAGGAAGAAGAGAGGAGCATATTTACTTAACTTAAGACTTCTAGGGATGCTGGAGTTGGGGGGCACACTACCTCTTCAGTGATTACTCTTAGTTAGTAAGGGCTAATACCTCCTAGCGTAGTGTCTGTTCTGGGGCCAGCGTGAGACGAGCTGCTGACCTCTCCCTACTACTTAGTGGGCAAGTGCTAAAGAATACACTCGTCACCACCACAATTAACAGTGATTGATGTCCTCTTGGCCACCTCACAGGGAAGCCAGCAGCCAGCCAGACATCAGCGCTGACCTACCTGCCCACTTTCACTGGGGCCACAGCTGCAGAAAAGCAGCAGGGAGTATGGATTGCTCTACATGTTTCCTAGGCGATTCCAGGACTTCAGTCCCAAACGGTGTGAATCCAGAGCCTTTCACTAGGAGCACATGCAAAAACGTACTTACCTGGGTAAAAGTCCATTCTGTTTGCTGACTAAGTACAGAAATGGTGTCGACAGAATGCAAATCCAGCTCTTTGATTTCATGTTCAGTGAGCGCCAGAGCAGTGCGGCCCAGGGAAACAATATGATAACTCTTCCAGTCTGGCAGCGATCCCCAAACCTTTATAAGAGATTCAGTAATGTCTGTTGGATCATTATGAATCTTCCTCTATATGCACCATTCTCAAACCCCTTGGTTTTAAAAGTTCCAATAGCCAGTATGCTTCTTTCCACACAAAAGGCAGAGCTTAGGTATTGTGAAGGTTTTCAAGGTTCTACACTAATAATGATGAGTTTATCTAAAAATGCTGCAATTTGTACAGCTTGAACTTGTTGATAAAGTCAGCGCAGGGACTGCTGGAAGTGTTGCTGTAGGAGCAAGTACCACTGAACACAATAAAAATGCGAGTCTGTGTGAGATCCACAGTTACATAGCTACAACAAAAGCAGCACCAGGACTACCCAGGCTTCTACAGCATCTGTAATTACTCCAGTGGAGTGACTTTAAATTGCTTTTGTGACCAGTCATTCTGGCTCAGCCACTGACAAGGAAAGCAGAAATCTAAAGTAGAGAATTGGGTAATACAGTCAAATAGCCAATTCCTAAAGTTCTGATTTCTAGTTTAGGTGCATACAATATTAAAAAAAAAAAAAAGTGTTTGTACAGATACAGTTAAATCTGTAAAGCTCTGTAAAAACAAAGAAATAAGCAGGGGTTCTTCTAAAACAGTACCAATGTATTTAAACTGACAAGTTCCACTGCTTTTAACTTCACCTGTGATACAGTTACAGTGATTCAAAAGCTGCCGAAGATCAACCCTAAGAAAATTTTCATTTCAGGAAAAGGTCTGCCTGAATAAGGAATAAAGAAAAGTCCATCAAAAGCTGAAATTTTAGAGGCTAGAACTGTCAATTACATTTAGCTGGAAATGATAGAAGACAGTAATGAGTGGTCAGTATCTCTCAGGATGTGGTCAACTGTCTTTACAGAAAAAAGACACTGGGTTTTGGCTGGAGGAATTGACTTGAATGAGATAAGCATACATTTAAAAAAAAAAAAGCTCTCCCTTTAAAATTCTCATATAATTTAGCAACTTTGCTTTATGTCAGTCAATACATGACAGTTTTCTGGTACACGATTATGCTGCTAACTTCACACAGAAAAATAAAACTAAAAGCCTGGTCCTGGGCTAAGTTTATCAATCATGCTGATTCATGGAAATATTTATTCCATTTTCAGCCTATCTACAATGTAACATTTGTTCAAAAAATCAGAAAGGTCAAAGTTAGTAAGGACTTGCAGAAGGAGTATCTTTGCAGTTGCCTACTAAATAGTGTTTGTACATCCAGATACATATGAAGCTGTACAACCTGCATAAAATTTTTTAAAAAGGGCCACATCTCTGGAATAAAATAATCCTTACGCAGAGTTGCAGACCATCCGCTGTTCATACCAACATGCACATCCAACACAGAGCAGCCTCAGGGGTGCTGAGGTGCTCTTCTCAACTATGACCCTGGGGTTAAGGATTTGTTGAAGAGATGCTTTCCTGGACCTGTACATCCTGACTGAGTTTCCACCAGATCTTTTATGTTGGTTTTATGATGTCATAAAAAACCAGAAAAAGGGTCTAAGCCTGGGAAATGTCAATCTTTTCCAAAGAAAACAGATAGTAAAATCCATTAACCCAATTTTAAAGCTCTTAATTCTCTAGCTTAAGAGATACATGAAACACATGCAGTTAAAAATGTCATGTGTCTATTTCCTGATCTAGGTCATAAACTACAGAATTTGAAGTATTTCATAAATAGTGTTATCTGACAGTGCTGGATGAAATCTCAGACATAACACTATAAATAACACAACACATGAAACTGAAACACTCCTTTGTCCTCAGTCACCTAGAGACTACAGATCCATACATCTGTTACTATCACAAAGCTTGGAGACCTTCCACTTGCGAGTGAGCTAAGCTTCTTACTCATTAAGACACAATCTGATAACTAGACTTTCTGAATTAGTTTGGGACCGTGAGTAGTATGCAGTTTCTTTTGGGGGAAATCAATCAATTTAGGATAAATTAAAGCTGTCTTAATCAAACCTTTAGTCAAAGATGCCCTTTAGTTAGTAACAACAGCATCTTATGCACATAATTTCAAAGAGCTTTGCCTGTACTCTCTGATTTCTCGTGCTTCACCTTCAGTGTTAACACTGTGTTGCATATTGCAGACATATAGGAAGTCTGTCTAGCAGCAATCTGTCTTACAAACACTCACACAGACATAGTTTCATTCAGTGCACTACAGATCTGTGTATCTTTGAATTGAATATAGCTGGGATGTAAGTGCATTAACCTTGTTGGCAATTTCTCCCCCAACAGGTATCACTCTAAGTATACCATTATGTTGCACTGCTGTGAAATATTTCAGTTCCCACTATCTCAGATGAGCTCTGTTTTTATTTTCTTCTAGAATTATATCAGGTTTTTTTCCTTTTTTCTTAATCACATGTCTCTGTGCAGACAGAGGGAAGCTGTCTTGGGAAGAATTCATTTGATGCAGTGGGATGTTGTCCTACTGCAGCAAGGCAACAGAGGCAGAGTTGCAGAGAGTCACCATCTGCTTTCGAAAATCCGGTTAATGCCACTTCTCTTTGAGCACCTGCAGTTCAGGAGTTTAAAAGCTGAACTTCACTGCTAAAAACTGCACTGTTGGGCTTATCTACCCAAAAGTCATGGTCAGCTCCACTACTCTGTCTGCAGCTGCTGGTTTAGGGAGATGCTGCCCAGGCCCACCCTGCCCCCTGCTCCTGCTTTCCTCCAGAAGTCACAGCCCTCGGATCTCCAAGCATCTGCACTTGCACTACTTGCAGCCAACTACACTCATAGATGCTTCCTAACCTCATTCTGTCAGAATGATGGAGCCTAAAAAGGACTTTTAAAGCACTGGATCATTTTGACAGAACGGGATTACGAAGTAGCTAGCCATGCAGAGAGAGAAGCAGAGAGCAGATAACCTCCAGCAGAAGCTGGTGACAGGAAGCTGAAGATAGGCTGGGGATGGTAGGTAGCTTCTTCACCTCTGGGTTTTCTGCAACCAAAACAATTTGTCTTATTGCACCCTAAGGCTTTTTCTTCATGAAACAAAAGTATGTTTGGGATACTACCTGTTCCCTGGCAGAGCAGGCAACCACAAAGCAGCAAAAGGAGGTCACCCCCAGGGAGGAGTGCAACACCAGCAACAAAGATGGAGCGAGTTCTGACTTCTCTCCCAGCCCACAGCTGGCCAAGGCACTGCTGATGCTCTAACACCTTGCTGATGCTCTGCCCCAGCCACAGTGTGTGAACTGCACCCAGCACCGCACTCCGCCCTGCGTACCCTGGCACAGAACCTGTGCTGCAGTGCCAGATGGGGAAAAGTTTTAGTCCCAGGATCCTGCACTGCTGCTGCAGCATGGACTGCAGCATCAGGTACGGGCTGAGCACAGGCCAGAGACCTCTGTGAGGAGCTCAAGAGGAGCTGCATTGCTGCACTCTGAAAGAAAGAGGTGACAGTGGTGCTGCAGGAGTGGTGACAAGAGCTGAGACTGCAGTCCTGTTCCTCTCCATGAATCTACAGCCTGGCAAAGATAGAGGTCTTCCTTCTGCTGTGTTTCCGTAACTTGCACTCACCAGTAACATCCTAGTAAATATAGACTAAATGCATGTGGGGTTTTCTCCTCCCTGAAATTTCCCACTGATGGGTTTGTCCCTATCTGTGACAAAAAGGTGAGAGAACAAGCTTTATTCAGCTAGTAAGAGCCTCTTTCAGTCAGTTTGGTTTTACACCACTGTAAACTATATTTAACATTGATGTAGACAGTTTAACATGCAGAGCTTAATTCTCAGCAGGCCAATCAACAGCCTATAGTACTGCTTGCTGATTTTCCATTTCTGAAAGAAAAGTGAGAAGCAAGCCACTGGGAAACAATTCAAAAGTAAAAGTACTCTTTTTTTTCATCTGCCAGTAACTCAGAACCACTTGCCTGTTGACTCCTGCAAGGGCAATAGTCTTCTATCACCATCTCACAGTATTTTCCCAATAAACAATAGATATTCTTGCAGCAGTAGTGACATTGCCATAGCACAGTTATTTTAGAAGTGCATACTTCAATAGCAGCAAATCAAATTATGGATATAATTTTCTTTCACAGACAGAATAGTTACCTGCTTGGCTTTTTCCTTCAAGACAATAAGCTGGGAACTGTTAAAACCTGAGATAGTCCCAAGAAGTTCCACATTTTTGTCAAAAGTCCCTGTGTCCATGCATTTCAGTTCCTGGACTGACCAAAAGACATTTGCTTCTCCTAATTTAATAATTTCATCTGAGGAAGGAGCTCTGGTTCCCAGGCAATCTGGAAAAAAAGTCAAATAGCAAGAGTTTTCTTCAAGGAGACTGAAAAAAGAAAACAAAGCAATATAGAGATTTAAGAGGGTGACAGACTATGAATTAACTGCAGCTGATGTCATACTAATTATCTTGCAATGAAAAAAATTCATTTTATGTTTTATATTTTAAAAATATTTACATTGTTAACATCCTGTATATAAAACTAGAATTTGCCTAACTTGCAAGACATGTTATATTCTTTGTCCTCCAAAGGCAGTGCATGCTGGGGAAGAAAATAGGTGCAGACATGTATTTCAGAACAGTCACAATATAAGATGCCACAATAAAACTGAACTCTGGATGTGTGCAATAAGAGTAACCAATATCTTACAAGATTCTTTCAAGTCTAATTCCCTAAAGGCACCAAAACCCAGGCAAGGGCTTATTCTGAGGTAAAAAACCCATTTGCTGTGAGCCTTGTTCAGGTAAGAATCAAATGCAAATCTTTGGGATGACCTCAGTGGAAGTCTCCATAATAGCTATGTCATTGCTCACAAAAAAATGTTGCAGCTGAATAAACTTCTCCACGTTCCAATAGCACATATGTGAATCCAGCTCAACAGGAAGGTAACAGACGTGAGAGGTCCTTCTACTCTGAAATAGCCTGACAAAGATCTATGTCTTGTAAGACTTGCCTGACATTTAAACAAGGTGAAGACAGAAGCTGGATGTGTCAGAGAAACACAGTGCTTGTTCTTTATGTCAAGCATGTTGTTAAAATGTCAGGATCTAGAGAGGGCTGTTTGCTTACAACCGAACTGTTTGGGCAGACAAACTCCATTTAAAAATCTTATTTACGGTGAGGTTCTGGCCCTATGCGTGATCAAACAAAACAGTTTCCACTGTGTGTTTTTACAAATCCTGGTCTTTGTTGGCATAATCTACCTCTAATATTGATGGAAAGCAGAAATTAGAATCCTAATGTGGTTGCTTACTGCTCTCTCTTCTGTCACTAATTTAGGAAAACCGTATTAAATAATTATCTGAACCAAATAATCCCTACATGTCTTCAGATACGGTCATTACTAGTAAAAACCAAGAATTTCACAGATGCTGTGCCTGAGCTAAGCTCCCCCAGATAAATAAATTAAAGCGAGGATGTACAAAGTAGATTTGTACTTTGAAAGGAGGCAGAGGAGGGATTTATTTGCATCAAAGGAAGCTGCAGTAGTGGGTAGAACACTGAAAAGATTGAATCTGTTGAGCAAACGAAAATGTTGTTTAGCTTCCACTGTACCAGCTGATGTTCTGCTCTCCCTTTTCACCGCCCTCTTGTGAAGCTGCATTGTTTCACTTTCCCCTGCTGCAAAAGGTCAGCTTTTATCATGTAAATACTACCCATCCAGACACAATGTAGTTCCCTTCCCCAAATCCTGAAAACCTAATATTTTGTGTTCTTGGAAAAAACATTGATTTTATTATTTGTAACACACCAGCTACACTAGCGTGATTACAGAGGGAAATACTAATTAGACTCCTGGCTTTGCTTCCTTTCTCTGATGCTACTTCACTCTTCCTTTTGCTATACAATCACATTTAGTTTGATAAAGAACATATTTTTTATATATATATATATATAAAATAAATTATAACATCTCAGAGCTTAAGGTAAGCAACTTAAATTCTTTTTCCAGCACTGCCACTGCTTTCTGGTAGCATCTCAGACAATTCCTGAATTTTGTCTCATATGTTCCATTTTGCCTTAAGCACCACCTTTGTCTTTATGTTAATGTAAACTTAGAAATGTAAGAATTCTGTCACTGGTAACTGTTACTGTTATTAATATTAGTTCACAGCTGGACGGTGGGAAATGTAAAATAGCAGGTTGGTAGCATGAAGAGCATCAGTGTTATTCTAGAGTCATTTTTATAATACCCACTTTTCTAGCGATTTGCAAATCAGCCATAAAACTCCATTCCTTATTGAAATCACCGTATGAGTTGTGTGGAATTGGTAAGATTATGTTTGGTAACAGACCTTCAATACCACACTTGGACTGCAGAAGTATTTCTTAGACTAGCACAAACAATCCTTCCATTTTTCATCTCCCAGACTCTCCCCTCCAGCTGAGCTTGTGTACCCCAAGTAAAGAATGAAAAGCCCCCATAGCCTTGGAGCCAAGTTATCCTTTGACAAAGATCATTAGCTTCACTGGCAGGTTTATACTGGTCTTGCAATGCAGATGTGACAGCTCCGTAACTGCACTGGCCATGTCTGGAAGTCTTTGGGTTCGAGACCATCTAAGGAACCTGAGGGTGCACAAGTCCATGGGACTGATGAGATGCATCCATGGGTCCTGAGGGAACTGGCGGATGAAGTGACTAAGCCACTAGCCATCATATTTGAGAAGTCATGGCAGTCCAGTGAAATTCCCGCTAACTGGAAAAGGGGAAACATAACACCCATTCTTAAAAAGGGAAAAAAAGACGACCTGGGAACTACAGGCCAGTCAGTTTCACCTCTGTGCTCAGCAAGATCATGGAGCAGATCCTGCTGGAAACTATGCTAAGGCACATGGATAATAAGGAGGTGACAGCCAACATGTCAACTAAGGGTAAATCATTCCTGACGAATTTGGTGGCCTTCTACAATGGGGCTACAGTGCTGGTGGATAAGGGAAGAGGAACTGACATCATCTACCTGGACTTGTGCAAAGCATCTGACACTGTCCCACACAACATCCTTGTCTCTAAACTGGAGAGACAGGGATTTGATGGATGGACCACTCGGTGGGTAAGGAATTGGCTGGGTGGTCGCACTCGAAGAGTTGTGGTCAATGGCTCCATGTCCAAGTGCAGAGCAGTGACAAGTGGCGTCCTCAGGGGTCGGGGTTGGGACTGGTGCTGTTTAACATCTTTGTTAATGACATGGACAGTGGGATGGAGGCACCCTCAGCAAGTTCACCAACAACACCGAGCTGTGTGGTGCGGGGACACGCTGGAGGGAAGGGATGTGCCATCCAGAGGGACTGGACAGGCTGCAGAGGTGGCCTGTGCAAACCTCAGGGAGTTCAACAAGGCCAAGGGCAAGGTCCTGCCCATGGGTCGGGGCAATCCCAAGCACAGACACGGGCTGGGCCAGGAGTGGATTGAGAGCAGCCCCAAGGAGAAGGACCTGGGGGTGTTAGTGGATGAGAAACTATGAGCCAACAATGTGCCTGCAGCCCAGAAAGCCAACCATGTCCTGGGCTGCACCCAGAGCAGTGTGGGCAGCAGGGTGAGGGAGGGGATTTTCCCCCCTCTGCTCTGCTCTTGTGAGACCCCCCCTGCAGTGCTGGGTCCAGCTCTGGGGCCTCCAGTGTAAGAAAGACAGGACCTGCTCAAGCAGGTCCAGAGGAGGCCACGAAGATGATGAGGGGCTAGAGCACCTCCCTTATGAGGACAGGCTGAGAGAGTTGGGGGTGTTCAGCCTCGAGAAGACTCCACAGAAACCTTATGGGGGCCTTCCAGTACTTAATGAGAGTCTAGAGGAAAGCTGGGGAGGGACTCTTGGTCAGGGAGTGTAGTGACAGGATGAGGGGTAGTGGTTTTAAACTGAAAGAGCACAGATTTTGTTTAGATATAAGGAAGAAATTCTTCCCCATGAGGGTGGTGAGGCCCTGGCACAGGTTGCCCAGAGAAGCTGTGGCTGACCACTCCCTGGCAGTGTTCAAGGCCAGGTTGGACGGGGCTTTGGGCAGCCTGGGCTGGTGGAAAGTGTCCCTGCCTGTGGCAGGGGAGTTGGAACTAGATGATCTTTAAGGTCCCTTCCAACCCAAACTGTTCTATGATTCTATGACTGATTCTATGACTCAATTCTATATGATTCTATGATTCACATTGTTGAGATCCAGAGGCCTAAAAAAGCACATGTAAGGACACAAACATACTGAAATACCTGATGCTGGATGCCAATCCAGTCCTGTGGCCCATGTCTAAAGAAACATGATTTATGATCTGATGGTTTACTTGTTTAAGGAAGAACGAATGTCATGCATACAGATGGACTAATACTCTGCTATTCCACCAACTTGATTTTGCTTTTTTAGAGCATGATCATTGTGTAATGACTTCTCTGATCAACAGAGGTCATGCTTTTTTTCAGACTATACAAAAATACAACCCTGTGGAACACCCTCTGTCTGTCTCTGTACATGAATACAGCATCATCAGGAGCAAATTTATTCCCAGAGACACACAGTCATCATTCAGAGTTGCTGTTATATAAGCAGATGGATTTCCATGGTGCCTCAGGGCTTGTTGAGAGCTTGGACCTGTATTTTGTTAGGCAGAAAACCAAATGGGAGATTTTCAAAGACATAAAGGCAGACAGTACCAAACTCCTTGAAATTGTTGGGATCCAAATTCCCATTTGTGCTTTCAAAAGCCTCCCCCACAGCAGGGTTGTTTTCCATGGCACAGGATGGCATAGCTTAAAAATTCTGCCTAGGTGAATTTCAAGTAAGAGAAAGGATACAGTTATAATAATAGAATATAGTTGAAGTATGTACTTATACAAAGAAAATGATCCATTTTTGACCAGAGATTCGAATATATTAGTTTGGTTGCTAACTAAAATACCTTTTAGATCATAACAAACTTTGACCATTTGGAGAGACAAAACACAGTGCCACCCATGTCAGACTCAAAACCAGCCGAGTCAACATACGCTCGTGTCTGGCAAAGGATTAACTACGTGCAATCTTCTGGCACAAAAGTAACTTGCCACCTTCACCGCTTTTTAATTCAAGGATTTTCACTTAGATTACAAAGAAAGTAAAAATAACCAAACCCCTATAATACAAATCTTTCATCTTTTTCCTTTGGGCACTGAGGAACATTCTGGGAGATGCTTAACCACACAATCCTGTAATGAAATTGTTCCAGCAATCAGCCAACGCATGAGACAACTACAGGCAACAGAACAAAGACTCACTACTTTTGCTAAAACTCTGAACCTCTTTTAGGTTACTCAGTGCTCTACTTTTTATGGTCCAGTTTCTCAGAATGCATTTGATGACAAGGTGGAACTAAAAGACTGTTTGAACTGCACCACCACATCCCAAAATGGCACCACTGTAAATCTGGCACTTTGTACAGATATCAGGTAAAATACTCACCAGGTCTGGTGATAGATGATTCGATGTTGGCAGTGGCATTGGAGACAGATTCAAACACAGCTGAAAGAAGCTCTTCAGATGAAGAAATTGGTCCAATTGTCTTTGCTATTTGTAAAATGGTATCAGGGAACTTCAAAGGGAAAGGAACAATATAAGTAAGATTTCTTTCTCCCTTTCAAAACAAATCAATTTGCAGAGAAAAACTTGTGCAGACCTCAGCAAAGTAGGAGTTAGTGATAGCTCAGCCTCTGTCCTATTTGTGCAGATGTTTCAGAAGAGGAGAGTAAATTGGCTGCTACTGAAAGGTCAACAGCATAAGTTTGAGGGGAAAAAAAAAAAATTAGAAACAAAGCAAATTCTGAGTGATTCTCCCTCTTGTATGCCCTCTCAGCTTCTGGCAACACCTGAGCCCTGCCTGATTGGAGTCTGTGTCCAGACCTTTCTGTAGCAATGAGTTCCACCATTTTAGTATTTGCAGTAGAGAAAGTATTTAATTTGTTTGTCTTAAATTTGCCAGATAAGTATAATAATTGAGGATAGGGACCCAATTAAATGATGAGAAATAACTTCAACCTGTTCACCTCTTTTAGGCTTTTCAGACCTCTCTCCTCCACCCTGCTAGACATCTTCCTTTCAATTGAAGAGTCCTATTCTATTTGGTCAATTATGAGCATTATCACCTGAGGAAAACTTGCTGACTGTGCTCACATATTTCTGCTGAGGAATGAATTCCTCATTCCAGTATAGTTTACCACTATACATAAAAACTATAAGATTATAAGAACTAAAGAGGGCAAAGAAACTACAAAGTGCAATGCTGAGGCTATCTGTTATTGTTACGTGTGCTACACTGGCCCTAGGAAAAAGGGCCACATAAATACATGTTAATTTGATCTCATTATTAACAGGATAAGAAACAGAAGGTTTACAGCTGGAAGGCAGAGGAATAGAGAAAACATTGCAAGGTGTAAAATACTAGAAATGTTTGAGCCTGCATCACTATAACACACCCTTTCTACGTGACAATGTACAATCATCATTGCTATACGTGCAATTAATTTTTTATACTGTCATCACCGTCAAGAAGAAATCTCAGAAATTTTGATGGAGTCGAGAATGTGTGAAACATCAACACATGGCTCCTTGCCAGGAGAATTATCTACCTAGTTTAGCATTCAGGTTACATAATTTAGCCTGCAATATGACATGTGCAAATCCAAAATATAATATTATGTTTTTATTATCATTTTTAAATTTGTAAAAGATACCTTTTCAGCAAGGACATTTAATTCCCCTTTTGACAGCAGAGCTAGGAATGGTCCAACATCTAACGTTGTTTCAGCTGTCCAGTTGTTTGGGGAGCTGAAGAAATATTTTGGAAAATTATGTTAATGAAGAATGTTTGCAATCAAAATGATACTAAACCTTCAGGTTTTCTTATACTGCATCATATAGGAAACACAGATACTCCTATGCCAATATGGTGATTTATGCTTATTAACATCAGATTGCATTTTCTCATCTCCCTGTGATATACAGGGCATTAGTAGAATTCTCAATGTATTCAGAGAAAGCCTTCAAATATTGTGGTAACGGATCTCTCTCCCTCAATAGTCACAGTATTCTTAGCATTACAGCGTTCAAGCAAGAAGAAATAATTATTTTTTTAAAAGAAATTTTACCATTTTATATCAGGTTCATACTGCAATAGTAGTCCACAAATTGGTATCAAAAGAGAAGTAGAAACCTCATAACCAGAATTAAAACCATCTTTTTTTTCAAGAATCTTATCCTAAGGACCAATGTGGATAATACTTCAAGCAAGCAATACTTACCAGTACTTGATTATAAATTAAAAAAAAATAAATCTCCTTTATTCACATATTTAACTATTTGCAGAATTACCGTGGCTGTTTTTCACTGGTGTTGGGCAACTGTAGCTTTACATGATGTCAGCAAGAGCTATAGGTGCTCAATGTTTCTGAAAAACAGGTCCATGCACATATGGGAGAAGAGGAGCTTCCTCCTCATTCTGAAAAGATTGAGTTCACTAAACCACTTGGGAAAGTAACTCAGTGTGGCACCAGTCTCCTGCCAATGCTGCCTTTTTAAAACTAAGGGAGAGAAACACGAAACATAGGTGATGGACCAGAAGATTTAAATCCACACTTTATTAGCTCTGTGTTTTGTCTGCTATTTCATTCATCTGCAATGTCAAGAGTTACAGAAGGCAGATCTAACACCTGGGAGAGCCACATCTAATGACACCTATGCCATGAAAGATCAATTCTATGATAGGTATTATATCCCTTGAAATAATATGCTAAATTATTTGTGGGAATTTCAAGTCTTAAAAATTAAGTTCAGGTTCAGTTCTGAGTGGTGCTGGGTGTTTCAAAACATACGTAACAGCACTATGCAGATTTGGTCTGTTTGATACAAATCTGACAAATGTTAGCCAACACTCAAGAAAGCACTTGGATAAATAATTTTTAGCCTGAAAGAGCCTGAAGAAGATAGTAATAACAAATCTATTACTAGCACATATTCTCACGGAAAACTTTATTTGGTTTGTTGCTCCCCTATTAGGATGTTTGACTAGACAAATATTTTCTAAATAAAATAAAATGAAATATGATTTAGCACAGTGTGTCATGATTCAATACAATGGATCTGTATCAAGATTAACACAGGGATGGGATCTGGTGGAAAATATAGCTATTCCATTACCAGAAAAATGCTGACTAGGAGAAAGCTGAATAAGCAACAGAAATGAAGGTGGATCAAGTGACAGACTTTGGGGCTGAAAGGATGGTTAGAAACTATGCATTCAGTCTTCTGTTTCAAATGCAAGATACTTCTAAGAGACAAGGTAAGAGAGAAATAGTATATTCTTGCCAGAGAGGATGGCTTTGTTTTTTGCATGACCGATAGAACAGTGTGGTTCCAATCAGCCTCCTAATCTGAGTCATTAATGACATCTAACACACTATCTGCCTTGCGACTTCAGTTGGTTAAACCTGATATGCCTCTGCTTCTTCCCTAGCTCTCTCCCATTACCACAGGTGCTTGCAGTCTTCTTTATTTCTCTTCTCACACCAACACACAGAGTATCACAATTCCATTTTCCCATTCTTTGCATTCCTGCACCATTTTTTGCCTGTAATGTCCTTTCTCTTGCTGTGCCAGAGACTCCGTTTGCCTGCTCCTCCTCAACCATTACACTTTCTTTTTCCTCTGGGACTCAAGTCATACAGGGGTTTGTATTAATACCCCTTTCTGGGGTTGTATTTTGTTCCACAGTTATCACGTTACACACAAGAACAGAAACATAATTCTAGTGGACAGAGACCCCAAGCTTGGCCAGTGATAGAAGTTGCTTTGTGTTGTTTTCATTGCAGTTCTATCTGGGCAAAACAAATGGTTGGTATTTGCATGGCTTAACCATCGGCATAAGCAAGGTAGTATATCTAATACTTTACCCATATAACTCAAGGAGTTTGTATTTAATTTCAGTCTTCTGATCGTGGCTGAGCTGTTGGCAGAGTTTGAATTGATGAAGGGCTGTAGCCATTGCCTTCAGGGACATTCTGCCATGTAGAAAGGCTGGAGGTAAGTGGCAGATTAGATTTCCAAGTAGGTCAACATCATATTCATCAGCCACAGAGCCGTTCTGAAACAAGAAGCATTTACTTGTTGGCAGAGCTAATCTTGGCTCTTGACCTGTATCACTCAAATGCATCACGACATATTTAAACTCTGTGACCCTTTAAGGAACAAAGATACAACAGTTTGCACTGGCAACTTAATCTATAATTTCTGCTGAGACTACTTTATACTTTTTGCATTTACCAATGCAACTGGTGATACTTAATAAGCACTTGTCAGAGGTTTCAGTGTACCCTTTATTCTATATCGAAGCACACATAAAACCAATTAAATATGCCACCCAACCTGCAGGGGTGGTGCAGTTCTGCCTGGCAGCAGAGCCCTCAAATGGCCCCTGTAGCGAAGGGGCCACAAGCGCTTGGTGTCAGAAGGTTTAGCTCTGATGGGTTTCTCAAGCAGCTGCCAAAACACTAGGGACTATATGACTGGTTAGTACGTATAAAGACATGAATACTCACAGCTACATCAAAGAACTAGTTTCCCCTAAAAACTGGTGATTGCCACAGGTCCCAGTCAGCAGAAGTCACAAAAACCTCCTGGTACCACCACCACCTCTCCCATGGAGCTTCCTGTGCCACGCACAGCTCTACAGGACCAGCACCGCTCGGAGCAAGGGGGAACAGCTCCAGGTGCAAACGAGTCAGCTCCAGGCTGCCCCGGACAGCTCGCTGTGGTCAGCAATGACCTTTCATGAGAACATTTTGTAGCAGGCGCAGATTCAAGGAAAATTGTTAAGGAAACTATAAAAAGGTTTCCTTAGGCAGGGAACAATAAAACTGAAAGAGTGCACAAAAAAAACGTAAGAATACAGATGGATAAGTCAACAACTTATGTAGAAGGTGACTGACATTACTATAGGAAATGCAGTGCAGTAACATGCCAACAGAACCACAGAATGGCTGAGTTTGGAGGGGAGCTCTGGAGGTCCACCCCCGCTGCTCAAAGCAGCTCAGCTACCGCAGGCTGTGGGGACCTTGGCACTCAGAGCTTCTCTGAGCCAGGCAACAGTCTAAGCTGCTCTTGCTTGCGACGGTGAAGAAATGAGCATGCAGTGTTACTGCCTTTTGGCCCCTCAGAGTCCATCAGCTCTGGTTTCACCACACAAACACGGAGCAGGGCAGCCTGTGTCTCAGCTGGCTGTCAGTATACAGGAGACCATGCACGTGTGCATGCGGACTGGAGAGCACAACTAGGCAGGACAACTTTGTGAAGCACTACATGACAATAAAGGGAGAGAAAACTCATCAACCACTCTCACTTAGTTTGGAATTGACAGTGGCTAATTAGAGATTACTTTTTTTTCAGCTCCCCCTCCACTGCTGGCCCCTCCTAGCCATACCTACCAAGCACTCCTGTACTTTTTGCAGGACAGCATTCCTTTTGTGAAGGCTTGGATTCAAAAGGTCCATCTCAGTCTTTCCCAAACTTTCAATGAAAGGGACACACAGAGGGCCTGAAACATACTCCAGGTACTCAATCCTGCAGAAAGAATTCAAAATTCATGCAAACCTGACCTTCATACACCCATAACAACACCCATAAAATCTGTGATGACAGAAAAATTTAGAGACAAGTCTGGACTTGAAAAATTATAAACCGGCCAGGCCAGAAAAGCAGTAATTAATCCACACCTCACTTTAACTTACATCTTCTTCCAGTTCATCAGCTCATGAACCTCATGTCAAAAAAAGGCTAAGGGTTATAAATAGCTGCAAGTAGATGAAAGTGCTCTGAGGTGCTTTAACACCACATCAAACAAGACTGTCTAAAGTTCAGAAACTTTTCCCCTTTCTCCTTTCTATTAGGAATAAATCTCTGATGCATGAAGATGTGGTGGGTGGGTTAAGGACAACAAGTAGTTTTAGAGTAGGTTTCCTTTTTATCAAAGTCCAAGAAAGCCTGCCAAACTAAACAAAATGATGCTCTTCTCCACCCAGAGTGACAGGCAGCCTTTGCAAATAAAGTTGTATCTCAAAGCTGCACAAGCCCAGGGTTTGTAGGCAGGAGCACCGGTGATTTCTCATGGTCCTGAACAAGCAATATGAAATTGCTGGCCAAATAACTTGGTGCTGCAGTTTGTAGAAAACCTTGTATTAAAGTCTTTCTATTATTTTTAAACAGTCATGCCTTTTCAATCAGAATTCTTCTATTGTCTTACTTTTTTTCAATTAAAAATATTCCAAGAAAATAATAATTCTCATTCACTTTTATCCCTTTAATCATGTAGGAAGAAAGAAATAAAGAAAAAGGGGAATTAACAAGTTGTACAATTCAGGAGTTCCTATCAAGGTACAATTAGTATTTTTTTCCTAAGCAAAAAAAGCTGTCACTGAATATTACTTGGCTATTTACACAATGCAGTTTTGCTAACTTACAAAAATGTCTTTAAACACACTGAAATGTTTTAATGAATTAACCCCTTTATTTTAGCAGACATCAGCAACAGTATAAGCAGCAACATTACAAGCTTTGTTATCGTTGCCACACCACTGCACCATGATTCAGTCTGCACACAGAGCGCTTCAAGGGGGACTGATTTCAAGGATGCAAAGGAATCCACAATTGTGACAAAAATGGGCTATACTAAAAGACACCAAGTATTACCAACTTTCACTTGACACAGATTTTGGCTGGTCAGTGACTGCTTTTTATAAATTAACATTTGTTTGAATCATCAGTTACCTTAGGACTGAAGAGATTATTAAAAAGTGCTCAGAAGCACTACTCTGAGCGTACTACTACAAATGCAGTAACTTAAGATGTAGTTAAGATGTAACTTACGGAAGCACCGGTAAGAAAAAGGGAGGAATAGATACACTGGAGACTTTCCAAAACTTCCAAGCCAAACAATTAACCTAAAAGCAACAAAAATTCAAGATCTTAGGCATATGGAAATTTTGAGGAAGAATGAAAGTATGGTTTACTTATTATAGCTTACAAATCAGTAGCTATAAACCTCTGCATATTAACTTCAGAGGGTATTTTTCTTTGGCTTTTTGCAAGCAGTTTAGAGTTTTCTTTTTGTAGACACCGGCGATAAAACATCCTATATTTGGATGCATGAGAGCATTTGTATATTTTCAAAACTTATGTATATTTCCGAACAGATTACTCATGAATTAGCAAGTCAGAAGGACTGTAGAAATTTCTTGCAACTTGTGACAAATGAAATTGTCAAAATAAAGTATGATAACAAATTCACACATAAAAGACTTCAACGAAACATGTTAACAGACAAGTTCACACATACAAGATTTTGAAAAAAAAATAAAAAATTAACCAAATTCTAATTTACCTACAGTTTGGATATTGGGTAGTATGTTTATGTACACAAAGTCTTATTTTACTTTTACCTGATATGGAGAAAGCAGATGAAGATTGTTTTCAAAGAATTTAAAATTGTTTAAAAAAAAGTCTGTGCCCATACTTTCAATGAGTTGACAAGTTACTCCTTTCACAAGCTGTCCTGTGCTGATAGGAAAAGCAGAGTTCAATCTTTTGAATATTCAAGCAGGATCTAGTTCTTACTCCCCACAACCATGTTCTAAGATAGTTTCTTGAACACCTCTCTTCCCCATTTCTTGTAATTGAAAGGCTATTGAAAGTAAAAATGTAATCAAATTGAAAAATATTGACTGAGCCTTAAAATACTAAATCCTCTGCAATGCTTTGATACTGATTTTGGATTTGGAGACCCTTTTTAATGAGGAAGGTGAATTATCCTGTGGTACAAAGGAATGAATAAACATAAGATGGTAAAAAAATACCACATAGTGTTTATGCTTACCTCAGTCACTCTCATCACAATACTAGACTTAAACCCCATTTCAAGAGAGACTATTATCCATACCTTAGAAGGTCAACAGGATAGCTCTCCTTAGACAGTAATTCATACAGATACAAAGCCTGAAATAAAACCCACCGTATTTAAAGTTAACCTTAAGTAATTCAGTTGCAAGATGCAATAACAGCTGCAAGATTTTTGTATGCTTAACTCTCTTATGTACTCTAAAGGCATTGCTATGGTCCGGTTTGGCATCCAGTGCTGAGTTTCTTCTTCAGAAGACAAGACATCACTGACTGGCACTGTGGAATGATGTTAAACACGTTGATGGCACACAACCATAGAATAATTTAGGTTTGAAGGGACCTCTGGAAATCATCTGGTCCAACCTTGCATCTCTCTAGACAGAGCCAAAGGGCTGACTGTATGTGCAAATGTCTAGTATACAGTACTGGAAAGAGAAAATTTATGTGACAGAATATTGAAGACTTTTAAACTCAGCATATTAATGCTTCCCTTTCTGTAACATTGTCTCATAATGTTGCCTAGGCTCAAAGTGACCTCTGGTTTTTATGTCAAGATATATTTGGGGCAGTTCTTTCCTTTTACCTGTGTTCCTTGAACACATATGTATTAGAGCACTTCCTATTCTCCCATCATACTCAACTGTAGTGGAATGGGAACTGTATAATAATTTTTACCTGGCTTCTTCTTAGTTCTTTTCCTTTCATCATTGAAGAATTATATCCAGTCTGCTTCCATAAATCAGAAAGAGATATTTCCTTAAAGAAAGCTCCTTGTATATCTTTGACTGATGAAGAAAAATCTCCAGATGCAGCTATCTAAAAAGAGGAACAGATAAATACATGGCATTTCAGAACTGATGCTTAGATTTACAGGATTTGCCCTTCTTTCTGTTCTGTGTAATATTTCTCTTAAGAGGATAAAGGGAAAACATGTCAGTATTAAAAATGCCACAGGACTAAGCAAGACACAGCCTTCAAAATATATTTGGTGTTCAGAAAAAAACACTGAAAATATTAACCATCGAGCTGAAACACAAATCTTGGTGACAACACCGTCACGTTCTGCATATCTGGTTATTGTCCTCTTGTACAGAGAGAACCTGCCACACACTTGAGTTTATAATCACCTTTCTGAGGATCCCTTGCTGTTGTGCAGGTGATAAGTCAGATAAGTATTGTGATGTTGTGCCTCGAATAATCTGAGAAAGGTCCTTTGGGTTCATGCTGTAGAATGACTGGGTACTAATACCAGTTACCAATGCACCCATTTGACTAACATTATAAAATGATAAAACCTGCAGAGATAACAGCACAAACAAAAAGAAAGTTTTCCGGCTTGTGAACAGCAGATATATTTAAAAGCAAAGTTAATAAATAAATCAAAACTATTATTATTGAATACTTCATACATTTCTTGTCTGGGGATGCACTTTTCTTAGATTTCTTTCAATTCCGACAAGACTGTCCAGGGAACAAATGTGACAATTTTCTCAGAGGCTCCTTGTTTTGAAACTTCAGAGAGGACCCTGATTCCTTCCATTACAGTATATTTGAATATATAGTCTGGGATCTCTGATCATGCAAATTCTGCTTAAGGCAGCGATACAGACAAAATAATATATACAACTGCCAAATGCAAACAGTCATTCCGTTACTAGAGAATTGCTCTGGGAGGTGCAGTCTTGGATGTTTTTATTTATTTTACAGTCTTGGATGTTTTTATTTGTTTTACAGTCTTGGATGTTTTTATTTGTTTTAAAAATTTTCAGACCACTAACAGTAATAAAAAGAAGTCTTGTACTAAACTTTTCAAAATCTACAGTTATCACTGAGAAAAAGCCATTTCACTTTTAAAAACAGAAGGTAGGGAAGCTCTTATCAGAGGTACCTTTTCGTAAGAGAGGTATTTACTGGATAAAATCATAACTTGGCTTTTTGCCCACCCAGAGACTTGGTTTAATGTTGCAATAGCGGTATGCACTGCTTCAGGTGACAAAGATTCCAGTTGACTTGAAGTTAGTCCAACCACGGCATCTGACAGAGATCCAAGGATATCATTCAATGTCTGGTTTTGCATGGCAATGTTCAGGAGCTGAGATTTGAGCTAAAGTGAATAGAAACACAGATGGGAAATAAAAATCTGCCAAGAACCAATTTTCATTATCACACAAAATAGCTGGAGTTTCTGGAATAGGCACTGGCAACCATTTCGTGACCACACACTTCATAAAAACTAAAAATAGAACCACAGTTGGTCAAAGTAATATGGAATAGGAGGAAACAATGATAAAAGAATGAGCACTGTAAAAAACCAAAAATGCACTTTTATTCTTTACATTTTATGATAGAGAACTATTTCCACTTATTTCTTAGATCCCAGCCAATTTACACACTTTTCTTTCCAAATTCAAGAAGAAAGTCCCTCCTCCTCTGTTTTCAGGATTAGGTTAGGCAAGAAGAACGAGCACTGCACCCACCTTCTGAACCTCAGCCTGGAAACCTCTCAACTGATTGCATTTAATCATTTGATGAAGTAAAGCCCGGGCCACAGCAGCATCCAGCTGTTCCATGTCATCATAAAAGCAGACCAATAAACCTAGCCTGTATAGAAGAAAACACATTAGCTAACTTCTGACATAAAAGGTGTAATTCTCAGGAAAATTAAATAAAGCATGGAATACCCTACTTGTGCTCAAAACTTCAATCATTTGTGTTTATCACTAGTGCCTTAAACCACAATCTTTAAAACTCCACATGGCCTGAAACTGGAATATGAGACATATGCACTGCTCTCTGTTTTCAGCTGACTCTACCCAGATTGCTTGTGCTGTTAAAAATTTAACTTTCCTGGTTCTATTTGTTTGTGGCTGGATTTTCCCAGCTAACGACTCCATGTCCTTTGGCAGAATTTGCAGTACAATCTCTGCTTTGAAAAGGATGGAGGGCTCAATACGTCTCTACAAGTGCCTTGGTGAGTTCTTACCTGGATTGATTGGACGCTTTGAACTCTAAACCCTTCTTGGATTTCACATGCAATATAACTCATTCATGTGTCAGAGCAGCAGCTAGAGCATTGCATAGTCTCTTTATCGTTTCAGGTTTAAACAAAGCCTGGTTGGTGCATTTCACATCAAACACATGACTGGCTGATGGGCAGAGACCTGTCCAATTCAACACTGACCAGGAGAAAACACACTGAGGCTCACTCCCTTAGTTGTGCCAGCACAGCATTTGCAAGGCAGTGCTGTGAACCAGACGTGGAGCTCATTTTCCTCCACAGTGCCTGTGCTGTAATATTAAATTCAGCATTTCCATTAACCTCTGTAAAGCGCAACCGCAACCACAGTTGATGGAGAGTGGTGGTCATACCACCAAGGGTAGGCGCCTGCTCAACGTGCCCTTCTGACCTGGGCCTGGTGCTTATTTGCTGCCATCAGCTGCAGCCCCACAAAGGAGGTCTGAAGTGTGCATCCCTCTCCCTGGACTTTAATCACTTGTGATGGTGATGAATTCATCTGTAGGAAGCCTGAAACAATCCCCTGTCACTGTAAACAACTAGCCTTTGCTTTCATAATTTACACAGGACAAGAACCTACAAAGCCCAGCTTTCCTGATACAGTCTCTGGTTTTTAACAATTCAGTGACACAGGCCTAAGCAGAGTCTAGGCAATAATGTCCAGATGTGAACTAAATAAACAGCTGCACCACTATCGAACTCAGTAAAACTCTACAGTGCAGGAAGGTTTAGCTTTTAATCCCTCTAGTCCCTCAACAACAACCTGCTTCACAATATAACAGAATACTGCCTCAGCACTCCTTCTGAATTCATGGGACATCATCAAACCGACATACAAATCAAAGAAACATCTATAAATGCATTTTTATAACAAATAATTACCTTCTGATGCATTATTGCATAGCCACCAAGAGCTCTTAATCTCCTTTGAGATTAGTGGCAATGAATAATACTACTTCTTAAAAGTGCATTTAAATCATCAGAATGGTTAAAACGAGTAATATAAAATAAGTGTGTTGTAAAAATGGAATATATTAAAGATTATGGAGCATGACATTTCTCTCATCTGTGAGAATGTGGCACCTCTCATGAGTGGTAAAATAATTTTTAAGTTTTCTGACGTTGAAATTTAGAGTGTGGGCACAATTCTTCTCTCGCTTACATCTCTGACAATCAGCAATACTTCATGGAAGTCGGTGAGTCATATTGCAATAATGACAGGAGCTCTGAAGCCATAAAGCATATTTTCCATTAGTTTAAAACTCCAAGGTATCCCCCAAGGAGACTACAAATAACTTCAGACAGTGATGTCTTGGGACTAAATACATCCATTTATATGACAGTGTAAATGGAAATGTGGAGTACAGCACTTTCTTGCAGGTAGCTCACTGCATATTTATAAGTAGGAGCAGTTGGGTTTTTTTTTTTATTATTGTTAAAGTAAGTTCAGTGCTGATTTGAGAGCCCTAAAAATGCAGTTTCCTGCTTACACACATAACAGTCACGTGTGTTTACATGTGGCTCATCTCTACCCCACAGGACGCAAGGAGGACAGCAGGGTGGGCTTTATACCTCTTCACTTTGTGACCTCTTTGGTGACACTCATGCCAGCTAAAAAACACTTGCAGTATTGGCCAGCTTGAGCTAAGATTTCCACCTTCAATCCTAACTGTAACATGATTTCCACACAATACCTCCATCTTTTGTGATTTAAACAGTCAACTCAACTCATGTTCTGCTATCCCAATTTATTTTCTTGCTGTATTGCACTATGCAACGGAGCCTTGACTGGATCCCCCAGATACTGCTGTTGTCCTCCTACTAGTATTACAGACAACAACTCACTGCGAAGCAGGAGACAAAGCGTTAGCTAATTAGGCACACCTCCAGAAATTCATAAAGTAGCAATTCTTCACTGTTGCTAACTAGGGTTGGATTTCAGCCTAGATTTTTCTGCTGGAAGGAAAAAGCTATACCACATCAACAGTTTTATCAGCTACTTATTGCTCCTCTCTTTTCTCTTTATTTATTCGTTCTCTCCATATGCAGCCATAAAAGAAAAAGAAAAGCAGTCTTGCCTGTAGATAGTTGAAGTGTTTCTCATATCAAATCCTGATGACTTTATTCTTTCCAGGAAAGCTTGTGCAAGCTCTGGTGTGATATCATACACTGTGTCCAACTGCTTTGTTGCGTTGTCATAGCTAACAAATAGTCTTATCTGACCATTACAAACAAAATAATGTGTCAGGATTGTCAAAAAATTACATCCAATAAAATATGATTGACACTAAATTAACGGACTCCATTCATGTTATAGAGAAAGGGAGAAGATGGATTTGGATAATACAGTATCTCTGAAGGCAAAGCTGAGTGAGCGATTCTCTGTCAAACTGTCAAATTATTTAAGGGTCTCCTATCATTGGTCCCTGTCTTTCAGTACAAGTCACAGAAGTCTGAGACAGATAAATAATTACATATTAATGACAAGCACTTTCAAATTCTCAAACCAGAAGAATATTTGGTTGGCAATGGATTTAGATTCACTTTATATTTAAATAATTAAAACATATAAACTTCTTTTTCATGTTTAAGTTTGCATTTGTGTTCATATTGTCTGTAAGTGACATCACTTGATAATATGTCCAACCACAATTTGTTACTTACTTCATTGAGACTAATTTTCAGAATTTCTTCTAATGGGAGATGGACCATGTATCTTCCCAAAATCCATAAGTTTTCTGCACTGACCCAAGAAGCTGATTCACTGAAATCTGTTTTGTACAAATAAACACTCACTACAATGTTAAGAAAGTAATTATTTCAAATATATTGTATCCAGTATACTGGTTTTGGCAAATAATCAAAAAAAAATCTGCAAATCAGAAAAATCCTTAGCAGAGAGTCAGGTTCCCTCCATTAGCTAGAGTCCAGCACATTTTTATGAGCCTATACATTTTTTAATGAAAATGAAATAATGTTTCAAATGTCTCAAATTTTCTCATACAAAAAATGATTAATGTTTTATGTTGTCAAAATAGAAAATGGATAAAGTATGAGACAGGAAAAATTAAACCAATAATATTAAATATGGAGCAGCATTTTTTAAATTCAGTTCTCCTAATCAAATGTATTATTTATGAACACCAGGAAGGCATGATACTTTGTAACACTTTATACATCTTATATATTATTATTGATGATAGCACTTATTTCAGCAATATGCAATAGCAATAATGGCAAAAATGAAAAATCATTCATATACCTATATGGAAATAGGTTGGCAAAAAAATCCCAAAATATTCCGTAACAGTTAAAAGTTGTCATTCATTTATAACATTCTCCCAAGGACTGAAAATTAAATCAAGATCCAGATATCCCTGAGAAAAAAGTATTTGCGGACTAGGTGGATACTCTGTGCCACAAAGACAGTATTTTCTCCAAGGTGCCATAATTTGGATAGCTCTACGTGTGATACCTCTGAACATATTCCTTAGCAGTGCTGATACTCACAACTCTGTTAAAAAAAAATCATCAGTGCACTTTGAAGAGTTTTCAGTATCTGAAAAAAAACAGCCTATAAATATCAGAAGCTGAAGAACCCCATTTACTAAGTGATTTTTTTGAAAACACAGATCTAAGCAGCTTAGCTGAGACAAGATGATGCTCCCAGCAGACCTGTCTGTCAGGCCTGTTTTTTTAAGTGATATTATCTCCCATTACCAGGAATATTAAGAGAGTTGAAAGATATGATAGAAGAGTTAAACAAATACTAGCACAATTTAAGGATGTTGACTCTGGCCTTTAGTAGAACAGACTTCCAGTTACCATGGCAGCCATGATCCCCCAAAACTTTTGTGATTTTTAAATAACGTACAAAATTCTAAAGTTACAGCCTCCTATTTTTGCAGTGGCTACCAGCATGCTTCCTCTCCGAATACCTCAGCATTTTTAATATGAAACAGGGGAAAATTGGCTGAGTGGCAGAGAAATTTCTTGGAAGGTTTGACTCTTAAAACATAGTGGCCACATGTCACCTCCTGCTCACCCAGTGATCCAGCTGCAGGCGCTGCCTGACACCACGAGGAGATACGGCATGATGGAAAAGCCCTCTGCAGGCTCAACAGAGACACAGAGATGAGCTCTCCATCACCAAAACCAGCAGAAATGCTTGGGAGGTGGCCCCATAAGCACCACAAATATGAAGCTTCTTTCAAGTTTCTTTTCTGCTGAGCTTCAGTGAGGAAGATGCTGCTTCTGCAGAGGGCTGATCCCTTTCCCAGGTGGTGCCAGCGCTGTGCACATATAAAGTTAAAGTGAATAAATCAGACTGTTGCAGGACTCTTCTGTTGTCCCACACAGCATATGCTGTGACCCATGGTGTGCTGACATACCTGAGTGAGCTTTAAACTTGCCAACCTGGATGTTGGTAGCAGTCTAGCTGTGCCTGCTCAGGGCTGATGGGTTCTGCAGCTCATACTACCAGAACTAGCCGGTAATCAGTCCCCACCTACTGCCTTCAGGAGTGGATTCATCGTATCTGCACTGCTTTGCATTTGAAGCAGCAACCGGGAGGTAAGAGAGGCATGGTTAGTCCCCGTCCCTCCTTAGCTGGGTGATCTTTTACAAACTGAAGGTTCACTGATGTTTCAGACACAACCGTGGGATTTTCCCAGACCGAGTATCATCAGGCAAGTTCTGCATCTTTGCTTCCTCAATAAAGGACAGGCAGTAACACCACTTCTTAGTGGTGTCATAAACTTCCTCTCTACCACTTAATGGGTTACTCTGATATTTTGAAATGACGGAAGTCCCAGGAGCGAGATTTTGCACGACTGAAACAAGTGGGCATTCTGCATTTGATTTCCAGGGAAAGAGGAAGAACATACACATCTAGAAGTCTAAAATGCCACCCGACAGCGCTGCTGGGATGTTCAGCGAAACCCAAGCACTGGTTCTGATACGTCAGTGCTGCTGCCGCTTTACAGCCCCCTCGTGGAACCTGTCCTGCACTGTCCCAGCTGCGGCACATCTGCTAAAGATGTATTAACAAGGCAAACAGATGTGGTAAAATGCATAAAATCAGAATGAACTTTGTCTTTATCTTGTCCCTTTTCTGAACGAGACTGTGCCAGGTGCAGTAGAACTTCCACAACATCCTGCATTTCTTTTTTATTTTTAAACCATGCATTGGCTAATGTATTCTGAGACAGATCTGTTTTTCTAGTCTGAATAGTTCAGAAGTGAACAAGGCACCTGTGCAGAGTTCCTGACAACTGTATCCTATTTAAGTGTTAGAAAAAGGACTTGAGTATTGAGACTTTGTGTATAGCTCTGTGCAGAAGAGGTGAAGAACAAACATCTTTGGAGAACTATTTGCCATGAGTAACAAATACATTATGTTTACTGTATTCTGGAGCAAAGCTATTCAAGACAGCTACTCTTAAACAGACCTGTGCTAAATTTGAGAAACAGTTCAACACAGTGTATAGGCCTTTTGTTGACTTTTTCTCTTATGATAAGCAAAAATAAAATACTTTGTATGTAACGTACCACTCATGTTATAGGATGTTTGTAGAATCTGCTTCATCCAGCCATACAGAGCTCTCTGTGTATTTGCTGAGGTTCTGTCATAGAGGTCCTTGAATACTGTTGATCTAAGTGATGCAAGGGCATATTAGTTCACTAATTAGTTAACTTTTTTTTTTTTTAAATGACACACATAGACAAATGTTTTTAGAAACAGCAAGACATAAGCAGAAAGCTGTATCTGGAAAATAGACTGAGACCAACCTCTTTTTAAAAGTGTATATATAGTCAGCAAATGCAACGTAGTATTAATTGTGTCTGGAAAATAAATGGCTTACAAGTTTCTGAAAGCATCCTCCTGCAGAACATTTGGGAGGCTCCCAATGATGTCAGGTTGGAGATAATTCACTGCTGACACATGCAAAACCTGGCTTAGGATATCCACACAGTCCAAGGCACTCAAAGCCAGAAAGCATTTATCCAGTGTTACAAGGAACAAGGTCCTGTTTACTCCCGGGCTTTGAAAAAGTATCTCTCTAGTCTTGTCCCAGTCAATAATAATATTTCCCATTTCCTGCAAGCAACAGTAGGTTAAAAGAACATATATTTGATTAGTTCAATATATTGTTCATTTTGAGGCCTGGCAGAAAGCACTCTACAAACAATATGGTGCAAAATACTGTCTAGTTGCATTAGCTCAGGTAACTCCTTTTGGCATTAGCCAGAAACCAGCTTGAGTCTTCTGACAAAATCAAAATAAAAACCAGAAGAGTAATCCAAATGGCTGAAGTTATAGGCTGCACTCTCAAGAACTTAGTTACTTGGAACATGAAAGGATGTCGGAATTGAATGTGTATTAATTCACAGATAATTTAATATGTATAATATCTCTATTCTATTAATATGAGAACATCTCTAGAATGGATCTTTTCCCATGCAGTATTTCTTACACCAATTACTACAAACACCTCCCCCAGACGATGGGGCAACATCAAAGAAACAATTCGAGGGAATAAAGTCACCCTGTTTGGGGACAGATTATTATGTTGCTCCATCTCATAAACTGACATGTCTAGGACAGCCCATTCAGAGCTGATAGTCCTGGGCCTGGTGATTTGTTCATGCAATATTATTTTTAAGAGGACAAAATTTACTGTTTATTGAAAGGGCTTATGCTCTACTGCTCTGGCTCCCAGTGTATGCTGCACACCTATCCTGTGTGCTCTGGCAGCAGGAGCTGTCTGAATAGCAGATTACAGTGTTTGTTCTGGACACTCAGCTCCTGTGTCTGGGGACACACTCTTCCTTTCTCCTGCATTAATCTCCCCCCCCCCAGCGATAGCCATGCTGGAGGCCCTTCCTCCTGGCAGGGAAGATGCTGAGTGCTCTCATACATCAGGCTACCATCCCATCCTGCAGAGATCCTCTCTGCAGGGGGGAAACCTCCCTGTGTGGCACTTGCTGACTTTGAGTGAGATGGATCACACAGGGGACACCACAAAGGCAAGTAAATGATGTTATGCTGCCTCCCTGCCAAACTGCCTAACAATTTGCTTGCACACTCCCGTAAGTAATTAACAAGATAACTAACTTCACCTTCTTTAGTCATCTGGCCTCTCTTTCCAGCCACTGAAGAGAAGCAGATACTCCCTGAGAACAACTGGTCCTACCTACCTCAGATACTTGTGTAGGAAGGAAAATCATTCTCTGGAGATGTGTTTCTCTCCACTGATTACAAAGAAAATCTAGACAACTGACTTGTCACCAAACTTTTAGACAGTAAGATTTAAATTAAGTAAGTCCAACCTAAGGAGGGAGGCTCCTGGAATCTAATCCAAACCAGATAAGTAACGGCATGGTGTGCACTGCGAGACCCCCAGTCTGGCCCTTTCCCATTTATCTAAACCACTGACAGCAGCTTTTCTTTTTCACAAGTGCAAAGTGACTTACAATATGGTGCTTTTTGCTGTTGAAGAGATATTTCATTGCAGTTTGGAACTGCTGCTGATCAAGCTGTTGGAATTCGGATAGTAGTTGCCTAGGCTGGTATAAAAGGTTCTTCAGGTAACTTTTTATGGACATCTGAAGTATAGAAAAATATGTGTAATATGCATAAAACTCATACTATTGTACTGGGGAATTTTTTACTCCCTGAAAAACTCTGCTTAAGGAGAGGTAAGTGCTTACCTCCTGTCTGTGTTGTCAACGACTAGAATAACTATACTCAACAAAAACTGTAAACAAAAATAATCTAACTGTAATCCTGAAAGACAATATTTTAAAAATCCTATTCTTGGCTTCATCAGTGAGACCTCTTCAGTGAGTCATTTAACAAAAATGCCTCAGTTTCTCACTTCATAAAACAAGAGTAATAATGCTTTTCTGATTCACACAGCAAAGCAGTGAAAATGAACCTTTTAAAGACCTCAAAAAAATCAGGTACTGTGTACATATTATTATTACTTAAAAAAGGGAAGGAAACATGCAATCAGATGGGAGGAAAAGTGTACCAGGTCATAAGGCAAAAATATTTTCTCACATCAAACTGCATTACCAGTTAACAATCTCATGCCAGTTTTGAAAGTCTGAGGGGAATTATAACATTGGAACAGAAAGCACAGTAATGCTCATTAGCACCAGGCTGGAGTAAAATCCCTTCTAATTCCTGACAGAATTATTTCAGAATTGGTTTGGAATTTGAGTTGAAACTGTTCTTTGTTGTCTTTGCTTAGCTTGCATTGCCACCAACAAATATTAACATAGTCAGGTCCTTGTTGTCTAGGGGGTCCAGGCCTGATTACAGCCTTAAACTGTTAATAAATCTGATCAAACGGGAAGGGGCAGTGTTAGTCTCCTGTAGGTTTGGATGAGCTGTGACAGTGAAATGGAGCTTGGGAAAAGGTTTGAGTGCTGTGGAGCTACATGGCCATAGGCTTTTGGGAATGCCTGAGGCTCAGAGATTGTACATTTGACACTTTCCTGTTCCAGAGCATGTGCAGGGAGGAGGGAAGGGATCAGGTTTTGATTAGCAGACTACAGTTCTACTTAAACTATGTCATAACCAATCATAATGACCAGGGATAAAGACCAATTAGTTTTTCCTATGTCAGAGTTCAGAGGAGCCTTAAAAGGTCAACACATTTTGTAGGATGCTCTGAGGCCTCTCATTCCATCATAAGGAGTGCAAACTACAGTGTGGTCAAAATCTGGGAAAAAACTGCCATTTTGTGGAGAAATACACATATTGATGTGTATACACTCAATTCAGAAACAGTGACTGTGCCTGAAAACTCCTAATTTCTGCTTTCCATCAGAGAAGAAGCAAAAAGATCTTTCTTATTATTTCTGCCTTGCATTCTGCTGCAATCTGAAAAAGATGAAGAAAAAAAATATTCCTAGTTCCTATTTATCTGCCACACTGTAAATCTGTTAGTTATCTCTATTATTGACAACCTAGTTCTGGCTACAGAGATAGGCTGCTTTTTTTCATACCTTTTTAAATAAGAATTTTCATGCATTTTAAATGGCACAAACCTGTAGGCTGCTAAGAGTAAACATAACTTCCTGGGCATGAAAATATGCCATGACTTTTGTAAGCATATCTGCTGTCCAGACATTAGAACTGTAACAGAAAACAGGACCAAAAATGCCAGTAAAATAATATAACATGTAAAATAGCAGATTACAAGACAAAACAAGAATAAGAAAAGCAAACACTGTTACTAATACCATAATAACATGAGTATTCAGCTTTTTGGCCTAACAAGACTAACAGCTGACCTATTTAATGCAATGAAAATGTGTGGTTCAATGAGGAATGGAATTAATTAGTTATGGGGTTTTTAATCTAACTCCACAACCACCCAAAATAATCTCAATTTTCCAACATGTTGCCATTAGTACCACCTCCAGGCATGAGACAAGCTGTGCTGTGCCTAGTCTGGAGCTATAGGTGTGCTTCCTGGCACCCCGTTATGCCTGTTCTGACCTGCTTGTAGAAAGAAAGTACAGTGACTAATGGCTACTGCCTTTCCTGCAGCACAGTCATTAATTTCAGTGTGTCTTCTCTACACAGCCATTGATTTTCTCAGAATATGTAGGAGTGGAATTGCCTTTGAGGCTTATATTGCTCTTTCAAATTTAGCCAGAATTAGCAAATAATTCAAAAGTCGCTAAGAGCCAAAGGAAGTGGGATGGATGGGGGATGGAGTAGGACTGAAAGAAGAAGATGGCAGAAAGCTGGAACTGCATCTAATTTCTTTAAGAAGCCCCTCTGAAACATATAAACAAAGTTAATTATCCCAGCTTTTGAAAACTGTAGCAGGTATTTATTCTCAGCCTCATTCTGTGCATGTTTTTGGCTTTATCATGAAAATCAGCTTTTTCCTTGTTAAGAGGAAATACTCCTCACAGGAGATCTAAACCAAAGTAATTGCATGTGCCAATTTCATTCTACCCATAATGTTCCAGTTTCTGTGGAAATGAAACAGATCATATCTGAAGTGCAAGATAAAACTGAAAATCAAGATGGTGAGAGTAATACATTACCTCTGAAAATGAAGTATATCAAGGATGGCTACACATGAAAAATGAACATAAAAAGTTATGGTGAGATATTGAGTTTTAATTCCTTTTAGAAGCATAAGTGGGAACAATTTTGTACATTACCATTCAGATATTTCCCAGTTATTACTTCCTCCTAAGGAAAAAATTATAAATATATGTAATAAATTATTATTTTTAGATTATAGTATAAAATGTTTGTAGAGAGATCAAAGAAAAAATACTAACCACAGCTTTGTGTAATAATGGAGGCAAATCTGTAAAAGATTATCCTGTTACTAAAAGCTGATTTAATGTTTTACCATTCAACTGTGTTATACAAAAATACATGTATTGTATGCAGTGAAACTATATATACACATATAATTTATTTATAAGCATTTAATGCAGTTTTGATTAAGTGTATTTACAGAAAAACAGTGAAAATAAAAGGCTATTAAATAATAAGAAATCTTGGCTCAATTCTTTGCTGGCATAGCTCCATGAAGTCAAGAGAGCAGAGAATATGGTCCTAGTTACCAACAAGTACTTCATCTATTTTACTACACATAGCTTCTTCCATCCACACAAAATACATCCCTCATGCAGAAGTTCTGGTCTTACCTTCGGCGTTCTGACTGTGTACTATCTCAGCATGATTCACTGACATCAATAAGAAACATATCTTCAAAAGTCTGGACATTTCTTCTAGTGTTTATTAGCATCAGAAGATATTTGGATTGAAAAGGAAAATAAAAAGAAGAGAGTCAAAAGGCCATATTCACCCCAAACTTCCATAGCTATAAATCAGACAGCCTAAGCTACAGAGTACAGACAGAGATCAGAATGATCTAAAAGTGCTTGCTCCCAAGTTTTTAATTTAGATATTTTTCCAGGATAGAGATATATTTTATGCAAATACAAGTCTGTCAAGTGTGCATGTGCAGCCAGATTTATTCCCCTTAGTCCCCTTTTACCAAGTAGCTCTTTTAATTTTCTTCCTAGTAGTACAATTTACTAAGTTACATTCTGCCTAAATATGACTTAAATGCATTTTTGTTAAAGCAAACAAACAAATCCTTTTAAACTCAGATAAAATAGGAAAGAAATAGAGGGAGTGAAGAAGGAAATAGTAAATAAGCTCCAAACAAACTCTAAGCTTTTTCTAGCTTGTGAAGTTGCCTGCATGATTACTGCAGACTAGGTCTGGGACCATCCATTTGCTGATCTCTGAACTCAAGCAGTGGGAGAGCCTGGCCCTCTTCGCTTGCCCCATGTCAGCGCGGGGTGCTGCAGGCAGGGAGGGTGATGGAGTGCTCCCCCTCCTCGGCTGCCATCACTCTGCAAAAAGGGAGAAAATGTCCTTGTGCCCTTCTGAAGCACAGGGAAAGCAACACATTTGGGAATTGGAGTTCAAGACCCTGCCACTTCATTTAGATGGATCAAAGCTCTAGTCTTGGTACTCATGAGAAGTGTACCATCAATTTTTCACAATCAGATAGGACACAGTTTCTATGGAAATATCTGGTTTAGTAGCTCTTGCTATCCCTGCTGCTCTGTGCTATGCAGCACAGAGATCACCGAAAGATAAATTAGCTGGAAGGGCAGTCATGGGATACCTGGAGCTTTTCACCTGGGTGTCACTCATTCTCATCAGAAAAGACTGACAGTCTCACAGTTGTCCTCTGTAAAATTAATTTGCTGCTTTTGATCTAGCTCCTGAAGGACAAGGATACACATTGAAACAATGCAAAAGGAAGGAAAAGAAGCAGAAACTGAGCAGGTCTTGCTCACATAGGTGTTTCTGCAGCCACTTCCCCACTGTAGCCCTGAGGACTATGAGCTGCTTTAATCCACATCGCATGAAGTTTATGGCAGAGAGGATTTTCTGTGTCTGCACCCTCAGCCTGGCCCTCTGCCCAGCCATGAGAGTCACCATCCCCACAGGTAGAAGAATTAATTAATCAGAGATATTAGATGATGCCCTGCTCTCCAGATTGCAGTTTATTACACTGGGATTAGTCCCTGATTTTAACAAATGACATGGAGGGCCCCATTGGCCAACTTCGCTCTGACCCTGAGATTACTTTGTCAGGCTTTCTCTCCCTTTCCTTCATTTCAAGGGTATATCTACAGTCACGCTTAATTTCTGCATTTCTTTTTGCTGCTGAATTTGGATTCTTTTTTTTAAAAAAATTATTTATTTAAAGTTCTCTGCCATGGTTTGAGTTACAGATCTGAACATTGGATAAACAGAACGCCTTTTTCAAGTTGTTTAATCTCATGTATCAGCAAGGTACTCTTTTATGAAAACGTCTTTCAACAGCCTCTAGCAATACTTCAGTCTACTGCAAACACTTAACTCCAGTCTTGAAACAGGAGTGACTCAAACTGAAGGATGATAAAAAATTTAAACATTAGACTTTAGGAAGCTATCGCCTCTGTCCTGTTCTTGCACACACTGAAACCCTTTTCAGCTATTCTTTTGGGACTGCCACAGTACATGTCTCTCATTCAGGCATATCTGGTTTCCTAGACAATGAACTTTCTTGTGTTTGTTTCTGCCTTTGCCCTATTAATTTTGCAGTAAGGTTTGATTACTCTGCATAGTTTAAATCATGCTACCAATATCAATCCTGATTTGTTTATTCCAGCTCATTCACTTTGATTGGGGAGTGTATTTTAATTAAAACATGCTAAATTAATATACAAGGAGATTAAATGCTAAGGAAAGTGCTTTTTTATCCTGACTAACTCCAGTGGACAATTAGCAGGTGCAGTAAAAGTCTGCTGTGAAATAGTCCTGCTCGGTAAGAGAATCCGCGGGATGAAATAGTTCCTTTTGTCAGGGAAACTAATCTGTTTGCAGAAATTCACTGCAGCTCTTAGACAATCCCAAATCACCCTGTGGAGATCTCTTGCAGATCCCATCCAGCATTTCCTCAGAGATCGTTCCTTGCACCCCGGCACCACATACTGTGACCAGATCCCCGAGATGTCACCCTTGCAGGACGCTGGTATGAGCAGCTCCCAGATTGCCGTCTCCTCTTGCTCCCTGAACAGCCACTCTTCCATGTGAAGAAATCCTAGACATTTTATCACTCACTCCAATGCAGCCGCTGCCTTATCTGAAGCTTGATAACCAGAAAGCTAACCTCCTGATCAGGAGTCTTTGCTGATAAGCCCTTGCACCGCCAGTGCCCACCCTCCCCCTTGCAGCCAGGCTCTCAGCACCTCTGAAAAAAAGCTCCGTATGCGGTGAGGGAACCCTCAAGGGGTCCAGGTTGGAAAGGGAGAGAGGGAAGTAAGGAGAGGGCAGAAGAGAAGAAAGAGATGGTGGGTTCTCGGGGAGAGCCGGGACCCCACGGCACTTTACCCGCCTGTGCTGCGTGCGCCTCCTTGCCGCAGTCCCAGCGCCGTGGGCTGGGCGGCTCCGGGCGGGGACCCCGACAGCGGGGGCAGGGACCGGGGCCGGGACCGGGGCAGGGACCGCCTCGCAGCCTCAGCTCTGCGGCAGCACCCGGCCTTCTGCCGGAGGGAGGGGAGAAGTCTCCTCCGCTGGGGGCTCAGAGCGTGAGGGTCTCCCGGAGCAGGTGGAAGATGCTTCCCTCCCAGATGAAGGGAGCCCCATGAGCTGCGGGGGGGGAACACAGCGGGCCAGGACGGTGGTGCCCATCGCCCTGCGCCCCCCAGCTCCCCACCCCAGCACGGGCAGGTGGCCCTGGGCTCCTTGGAGCAGAACACGCACAGACTGTACCTGGGATCCCCTGGCAAAAGGGGGCTGTGGTTTCTGTGAGACGAAGTTGTTCCAACTTTCCGCGGAAAGTTTCCGACTAAATCATGCCCTTGCACGGCATCTTTTTCCTGCGATGCAACACATCCAGTGCCACCTTGACAGAACAGATAGTTTAGTTACTCTCCAGAGCAACACACTGCACATTAGTGAGAACACTGAAACAAGACAGGAACAGCGGAGGGATGAGGCAGGTTCCCCAAGCCCAGGAGTAATGAATTTGGACACTGGACTTGCAATAAACACTTGTCCCCTTGGGTGACATCTTAAAGGTATTTCAGGCAATTTAGTCAACTACTGGACTCAATTTTCTTTGCACAAGGCTGTGTGACCTGACATTAATTGCACACAAATGCACTCTCAAGGTCTGGAAAGAGAACTTAGCTCCTTCCCTGACCCAACAAGCCATGCTGTGCCCCTGCCTTTTCAAGGAATTCCCATTTTAGAAGTAGAGGTGTAGGTACAGTCCCTTGGGGTTACTCTGTATGTTCAACAGGACTAAGGTTTTTGACCCTGTTGAACATGGTCCCCTAGAATTTAAGCTTACTCTGTTCATAGCTTTTCCCTGTTATTGCTCGCACTTTAACTAGTGTCTTAATTTCCCACCTCAAGTATAAGAATACTTGTTTAGATAGAGGAAACAAAATAGGAAGTCATAAGGAAAAAACCCACTATTATTTACATTGCACCTTCTGTGCCAAAACCTCTCAAAGCAGTTACAAACCAATGTCCTAAGTGACAGGACTAGAAGAGAGCCAAAAATGCATAGTCTCATGTGATTTTTAACCTGTGAGATTAAAACACTTAAGTACCTTTAAAGAAGTTTGTCTTGATACACATTTGCTACCTGAAACTGACTTCATTACACCTTAAGAAACATATTTTCATACTACTAAATGAGTACAAATGAAGGTAACAAACCAAAAATGAATGGATTCACTCCAAAGCATACATAGCTCATTTTTCCAACAGACAAATCTGATTGTACTGACAAAATTCAACAGCACATGCTGAAATGAGAATACTACTGAGCCTGAATTACTGTTGAAAAAAACCCACCAGAAAAACCCTTCACCCCATACTACAGAATACTTATTTCACAAAGATTTCTCAGTTGAGAATAAAAGGCAATTAAATTAACAAGAGAAATCACTAACCATCAGGCAAAGAAAGTGAAAGGTTAAAAAAAAGACATGCTTGAAGCATTCTACCTGGTGTAAGATCACCCATCGTTAAGAAAAAGAAAAAAACCCCACAACACACAACTTTTTAGACTTCAAAATCAAAAGATAAGTCAGCTCTTACTTTACTTACCAGCTGATACACAAGCTGAGGTTTCTCTGCTCTCTCACAACACTTACATCCCAAGCAGCGCAAGACATACGCCTGCCAGTTCTGTACTACTTATGATGCCGCTTGTTGTTTTAAAGGAAGGTTATATCCCAACTGCCAGAAATTATCCATTTTAAACAGAGTTTTTAAAACCATGACATGTTAAAATAAATAGCATTTATTGAGTGTTCCTGAAGAAAAGAAAATGTCCCAAGCTAGCAAAACCTTCAAAATCAGGTCCCTAGAGCCTGATCCTCAGGCAGTTTGACTCAAAATTTGCAAGAAACTGCCTGCAACTTTTTTAAACTGAAAACTTTTGAGAACAACTTGCTTTAAAAGTTTTTTATAAAACCCATCAGTTTAAAGTACAGTTTTGGCAAGTTCTACCATAACCCCTTCAGCTGGAAAATGGCATATGCAAAAGCAATGAGGATTTATGAAGCTTTGAGAGGAACATGAAGGAAAATCAACCAAAAATGATACATTTTTTGTGGACTCTTATCCCTTTAAACAATACTTAAATGCTGTAAATAAACACTGTGCTGCTACTGAGAGCTTGATTCTCAACACAAAGAGCAGCTGCTGCAGACAAGTGTGGCTATGGTTACAAAAATGAACACAAAAGTTAATGCAAAAAGTCATCTCAAAAAAAGTTTATTAGCATGATTAAAAACATGTGAAGAATGACAGTAAGAGAGAAAGTAACTTAGCATGGAAGAATATCCATTTCAACAGTTTATATTGAACAAGGCTTGAACTGAATGGATAACTTTATTGCCAGATTTCACTTGATTTCTTTAACAACAGTTCACATTGTATCAGTTTCATCATTATTAGGACTATTGCTTCTGTTTGGATCTGATCCCTGTTGCAGGTAAGTATAAAAAAATATCCCCCATTACTGCTGGATTGCAGAATGTATTGTTGGTTTAAGAGCTGGTAAAAAAGAAATTCTCAGCTGGAGTCTGTTTAAAAAAACAACCCTTTTTTCCTAGTCACACTACAAAGAAATACATTAGTATTTTGGCCTTTAAATTTCTTACATGGTATTTATTTAGCATGGCAGTCCCCGAATTCCCTCCCTTTAAAGTAACCATAAATCAAACCCCTCTTTCAGAGGCTGCTTCTTGGGTTAGATTCTGGAGATTTACTTCGTACACGCTTACACTGGCTTGAGGACGAAGACAGCATCATCTAGTACATAGTAGTCATTATACATATCACCTTCACATAGGTATGGCAGTCTGGTGAAAGCCTCTATGGCAAAACCAGCTTTACTGAAAACTTCTGGCAGGCTATTCACCTGTTCTTCCCAAGTGTGCCCTTTGATTTCCAAAACTTCTGAGGGCTTTTCCCACTTGCCACCTACTGAGAAAACAAAACAGTTTTGTTTAAATTAGAAAGAAAACTTTACTGTGTGTTCTATTTTCTTAAGGAAAGCATTTGACACAGATTATATTCCATTCTACTACAAATATGAGGCTGCAAGACATTTATAGACCTGTTGCAAGATCAGTTCAAATTTCTGCCTATTGTTCAGAAGAAGCTCCTTCTTAAGGTTATCTTTTGTTATATTTTTAATTAGGAGTTCCAAGACTGGCTGAAAAGTAACTTCCACTAGTGAGGCTGGTGTTCAGCAGATTCTTTGTGCCCACTGTCTGGCCAAAGATGGCTTCAGGCAGTTACGGTAAATAGAGCCAGCAAGCTGAAAATTATGATTTGCTGTGAAACTTCCATCAGCGGACCACCACATTGTAACAGATGGCTACAGAACCTTTGTTTGTCTAGTGGCCACTTACTAGCTGATATAACAACAGCTGCTTAGGGTCATACCAAATTAAGAAGCTGAACACCTGTAGCATGTTGGAAAACGTGTTGTTATTTGTTATATCCAATGAATAATCCAAAGGATTATAGGTAAAACTCCCAGAAATTCAAAATTTAAAACTCTTCACTCATTTTCCAAGTAATATAATTCACAAGTAACAAATGTTTTCTAGTTTGGTCTGTACCTTTAAACAGTTTGCTAAATGCAATAGTAAACACCCTTCTTAAACGGGAAGTTCTAAATCTTGTGATTCAGAGCGTTCTGCAACTTCAAAGATTTCCTAAGTTCCTCTTCCTTCAAGCAGAATTGTTTCCAGCGAGATACAAGAAATGGCATCTTTCAACAAATTAAAAAACATGTTTATGCTGGCATTTGACTGGATTCTGTATGGTGCCGGTAAGACTTTTTTTAAGCTTCTTATATTTCCCCATGTAATAGCATTTAAACAAGATTGAAAATGTGGTTAATTTGCGACATAGCTACATAATAAGATCAGTAAAAAGTTTTGCTGAGAATCAAGCTTATTTCTGCTATCTTCATAAAACTTTCAAATTAAACAACTGTCAGTAAATGCTTTTTCTTCTAAAAATCTGAAATGCTCCTGTAATCTATGATTTCTGGGTCAAACCCTACTGCAGTTCCCTATAAAGAATGCTCCAGCAGCAGCAGCATGGTTTCAGTGCAGCTGTGCTTGTTTGGGAGAACGGCTTGGGAAGTTCAGCAGACAGTATCTACATGAACTGAAGCCATGGAGTTCTGCTCTGCAAGGCCACCCAGAGCCCTAGAGAGTAAGGTGGAAAAGAGAAGGGGATCAGCTGCAGAAGCACAAGCTACTGCCTTTCACCACACAGGGTGCAAGTACACCGACAACTTATATTACTACAATTTTCAGATTGCTGTAGCTTCTATGGAATGGCTCTGATGCTGATCTGACACAGAAGTAGAGCTTCATTTTATTCCTGTAGAAGTCACAGACACTGAATCTGCTTGGATTTGGTCCGTAAAACACTCAGTGAGAAAAACGATGAAGTGATAATGCTGATTATCCACCATGGACAGGCTTATAAATTGTGTATCAGCAGTAGATTAAGAAACTTCAGTTTATTTTCTTCTAATTTGTTATATTCTAGGAAGTTGAAAAGGATGATGTTAAACTACTATCTTAATTTTCACTGCAATAATCTCAATTCCATTGTTTAAATAACTAAGCTATTTATTTGAATAAAATTAAATATATTAAACCAGTATTTAAATTATGGATTTCAATAAGGACTTAAAAAAAAAATAAAAATCAATCTCTCAGACCAGTCATATTAAGCCTTACATTTCAGTTCCTTAATGAGAATTCTCTGAATAACCTTCCTGTTTTCTCTGCACACATATTTAAATGTCAGAACTCACAAGCAATATTACTATCCTTAGAAACCCAGATTCAATATATGTGATGAAGTAGAAGAATGTCTAGGAACTATTATGAATTCTAATCAATGTTATGAAATTGCTAAATTATATATGCCTCCCTTCACATTTCCACTGCCTGCCATCAGGCTGTTTCACTTGACTCAGATCAGAAACAGTGGAGGAGACAGAAACCCTTGCAGAACTACTCCACTGGGCATCTAGAGTTATGTCACACCAGACCACCACCCCACACCCCTCTTACCCCCCCAGATCCCCAAAACACTCAGGACTAATCTGAGGCAGGGAGCTACACAAAGTATTCTTTTGGTCTTCTCCAGGGCCAAAGGAGACATTCACATATTTTAGACATATGAATCTTCTCTATACCATTTCAGAAAAATAGACAGCCAAGCACATTATCACAGAAGTAAAACTGTTATATGAACACATGGCCAAGCTGTAGGAATTATCTAAAAGAAAAGTCTGCAGGAAACAACCTTAAATATTTCCAGTTTGAAACACAGTTGGTTTTCCTCCTTTACTCCCACCTTTTCTTGAATGAACCAGAAGTAGCTTATTTTCTTTTCAGACTGTGCCTTGCTTTTTAACTGTCCCTCACATTACCAATTGTTTATTCACAACAGGTGCTACAGATACCTGCCAAGTCACTGTAACACAACCCAGATTCCAGGAAGCTGACTACTCCACGCACACTGTGTTCCTAACATGTGCTTTCTCTGCCTCTGGATGCTCCTCATCCTCACCTCAAGTCCTATGGTTTCGTTTTTTAACTAATAAACATGAGGATTTGTGTACTCCTGGATGCACAGATGAGCAGAAGTACAAAGTACATTCATTATCAGAAAATAACATTTCACTTCAGATCAATGATCTGACTGTAGATGACAATGCTGTTTATATCTGTGGAATAGCATTTTCAGATTCAATTTCACCCCGTTCTAAACAAGCAGGAGATGGAACAGTACTAACGAAAAAAGGTCAGTTGATCATTGCTTTTTAATGAAGCATCTTAAAAGAAATAAATTATCTTTCCTAAATATTCTTTTTATTCACACTTTCAAGAATGGCATTTAAGATGGAAATAGCAATGAAACTATTAGGAGTATTATAACTCTATTAAAATATTAATAGTAAAACCATGGAGGGATTCTACAAATAAGCGTCTTAACCTCATTTGCTAATTACTGTTCTGTCATATGATGCAAATGACTCTAGAATTCTAGAAAAGAAAGAAGTTTTGTACTCATGTTATCTAACAATACTCTACATCTTCTTACATTAAGACTTCAATGGCTATCCGAAAGGAAGTACCAACAGAAAAATGAGAAGTAGAGAAACTGACATGTAGTGGAAATACCTGCAGCAGAGTACAGGGTCTCAGAATGGGGATTCACTGTGCCAGCTTGAGAAAAAAGTTTTAGTTCTGAACCCCTGTATCATTTGCCTTCTAGTTAAGAAAGGTATGATACTTCCTTAACTACATTTAAGTTTTAAATGCCTAAAATAAAACCCAAACCCAACCTAGTCAGATTATTACTTTCCTTCCTTCCTTCCTTCCTCTGTCTAATCACATTTCTGAACAAAAGCCTGTAAGCTTTATTCAGATATTCCTTTATGGCAGCAGCAAACTGAATTCTATTCTCTGTCCACCCCTAAAGGAAAGGTACATAATCAAAAGTAACAAGTCTCCATTGCCCTTGCAAACATTCAGAGAAACAAAGGAAAATGATCTCACGAAGGATTTAGACTGAAAATGAACCAATAAATATTGATGGGTGTAAGGCTTTTTAATTCCTCGGAGAAAGAGGGCTGAAATGCAGAATCTTAAGAAAAATTATGTGAATCTGAAGAACTGTCCTTAGTATTCTAACACTCACTTCTAATAAAAGGAGCAGAGAAGCAGCACAGCAATGGAAAACTCGTCTTCATCTTCATGATCATCGCCTCATCCTTACTGTTTCTATACAGCACTACTGTACTCACATTCTTTGTAGTCTACAAGGTAGGCTCGAAGTGATTTTTCTCATTTTGTTCATTTTTGTAAATCTAAGGAGTTTTAACATCTCATAAGACATTCCCATATTACATAACTTTTATGATTAAGTTTTAAAGAGGTGGTTGGTTAAGTTCATATGCCGCACACATCTGCAAACTCTTGTGTGGCACATACCTGTACTATCAATAGCAACCACATTTTCTTTTTTTCAGTAAAGTGTCTAGAAGAAAAGGTATTCTGAAGTTAAAATTATCCTGAGAGTATTAATCTGCAAGTTGGAGATTATCTATCAAGGCACATTCAAAAAGCAAAACTGGAAATCACTATCATAAATCACCAACTCACTGGATTAGTCTCCAGCAAAAGTAAAATAATTTAAATTTAATCTCAAAGTATTTGTGAGCAGCAGTAAAGTTACTGCAGACTGACTTTACTTGTGTAATGAAATACTATTCATACATTATACATACACAGAAGAGAGACTTTGGTAAAATTTTAAAATATCACACTTGGAAGAAGTTTTATGCTTATATACTAACAGATTAGAATGTACCCAGTTAAAAATCACATAAGTACTGGATTATTTTTTTTTGAAGTCTAGAACAAAATTTGTGTTCAGTTAAAAACAAACACCCATAGCTGCAACTGGAATCTTTACACAGTAATGAGACTCTGACATGTGAGTGAGGACCTGCGATATGGTAAAAATGTTCTTTGCTGTAGTGATCACTGTCTAAGCATAAAGAGAGGACAGTCTTTTCGATTTTTGTTTTTCTTTAAACTAGGTGAAGTAGTACAGTGGGGAAAATTAAACCAATCACCTCACAGATAACCAGTTTTTCCCCTGAGGAAGGTTTGATTATTTTTGATAATTGAGTAGTGCTTCAGGCTGGTCCCACTGTACTCAAAGAAAAATACCTGTAGTAGCTACTACCAGAAGCTAAAAAAGACCTTACATGATTGAAAACTTCTCTGATTTTTCCAATGGTATCATCTGATCTAATGAAAGACTGTTATCTACAAGCTGTTTGATGCTGTAGAAGGGCAGTGCTTACAACTATTCTGCTATCTTAGTAGTTATGTTTTGCTCATCTTATGTTTTCATCATTTTTTATTATCCCTTCCTCCAGTTAAAACCAGAGCTGCTAAAGAAGAATGGGAATGAAGACCAAAGAACAGAGAACTGTGTACGTTAACACTTTGTCTGCTTTATCTGTGATTTAGAGGGTTTTTTTTTTTGTCTTCAGTATATTTGTCATCAATTTTGTGATCGTTCAGTCAAAGAGACGTTCAGAGCTATTAAGGCTTCACTTCAGATTTGTACAAAACTAGTTAATGATTTTACATTTAACTAATTGTAACAAATTAGTTAAAATTCATTTTTTCATGAATTGCATACAGGATAAAGTCAATCTATGTAAAGACCATCTCTAATACACAGCTTCCTTTACATTTTAAGTAAATTTTGTTTGAACTTCTGAAAATAACAAGGTTTGCTATTAATTTTTTGTTTAAAGGGTGCATTCAGGTAAGCCCTAATGTATATAAAACAAGTCTATTAAGAACCTCTATCACTATGTATCCTTGCATAAAAATCAGAAACCATACATTTAAATAACCATTAAAGAAGATATATATATATATATATATATATGTTAAGAGATGTAATATTAATGTAATTTAAAACCATTCTGCCTGCCAAACCATATGTTCTTGCATTGTTATTTAGTACCATCCCAAAGACATATAAAGGGGAAAAAATCAGAATTATAAAAGATAGAAAAAGATGTTTCCCCAACTTCAAACATAGCACTAACCTAAATTATTTTTAAATAATTTGCAGAAAATCAGTAGCGGACGAAAAATTTTTCAGGCAATTGCCCAAGAACTTCAAAAACAGAAGTATGCTGAACACTGGCGACAGCCTGTAAGTATCTATCTACCTGTACCAGTATTTATGGGGCAAAAGAGGAACTGGGAGTTTTTAAAGAGTATGCTGTTTCTATTTCCAGAGGAAATACGACTTTTTTTTTAATGCTGATAAAGGGCTAAAAAAAGTATTCCACAAAACAGTCAAAGACATTAAAAAGCATTCTAAACGACCATATACATAACAATTTTTAAATATATATATATATATATATGAGATAGTATATACCTTATAGAATGTATGTATGTACATTTAAAAATGAAGCTTCCATAAGTTTGTATTTTGCCAAGAAGAGGTCTCTGCAAGTGGCTCTGGACTGTTTGGTAAAACACATAGAGCTATTAAGAGTTCATTTTTGAAAAATATTTCTATTGCAGTTCCTCTTGCGCCCTTAGCCCAGGGTAACTAGATGACAGAAACATAACAAAACTTATAAAAGCTCTACATCATTCTAACAGATATTTCCCCCTCCTTCAACCTACAGAGCCCAAACTAAGTATTCAACATCACTGAGTAAAGCCACACAACTTATTTTGCCATTCCAAATTTATGCCAGTAAGTCTTATAAGACCATATGACAATAATTTTGCATATGCCATGTAAGATAGAAAAAATAACTTCAGAAGTCACATGTAGCTGCAAGCAAGGAAAAGACCTTCAAAATTCTGCTTCAAAAATGTTGCTTCTCTTGAGAAACGGTGTAAATTCTTTCCTATTCTGAGCATGGATCACACCACTTCAGAGATGCAAGAAGAAACCAAAAGACACTTCTGCTCTAATCATTTTTACTTCATGTATTTCCATAAAGCTCCAACTGTTTTCCTCTGTAATTACCCCTTTAGAGACTTCAAGTCCCTGCTGACATGACCTGGTCCTTAGTTTGAGTGTCAGATATGAACACAGTAAAAACAATGGGTATGTTTTACTGCCTCTGTGCTCCCTGGAGATTAGGAAAAGCCTAGAGGAAAAGAAGTATGTTTTAAATCCTGTAGATGCCACATGGACAACAGCAACTGGATAAATGGGGAGACAGGAGTTTACTGAAACAGTAAAGGGATGGAGTTTGCATCCATAAAGGAAATTCTGACTTTATTTTTTTTAAAAAAAGTTCACGTCAGTAATGAAATACTTGTACATTTTCCCCCTAGGATGATGTGGAAGATGACACTGTTTATCAGAACAGATGAGCATGTGCAGCAGTTCAGATTTGTTCAATATTTCTCTTGCAAGCAAAGGGGCAGATGAAGTTAAGCTTCTTCACAGACTTCCTTTGCTTTAAAAAAAGAGGGGAGAAACCCCTGCAGGGCAGTGTTCTTCAAGAGTATTTTCTAAACAGATCACCAAAACCAAGTGCACTGTACATTACATCTGTGTTACATATGGCCTCCATTTTCCATTCGGCACGAATAAGATCATGGGAAAAGACTTCATCTTTCATAAGGTAACTGCTAACGCTTTATAGACGTTTCCTTTATCAGTCTATATTTAATTCTATGTTTTTTTCTTTTTACGTAAATTTACATGTATTCCTTTTACATGAATTGAGCATTTGTGAAGGATGTATCGTAATTGACAGCAACTGAAAATGAACTTGTTTCACTGGTGAAATGCTGTGTTTAGTCATGTCAATGTGATAGCTATCAATGTAACAGATGTATTAATCAACTAATGTACTAATCAGTTACTGAGTCTTAACAACATCTTAACCAGAGCAAACTATGTATTCTGTAGACAGGCAAACAGAAAAAAAAGACAATATAAATGCACGTATTATCATGGTAAAGTTCATTTGGGATGGGAGCTTCTTCCTAGCCTATTTAGGAAATTAGTGGCCATAGTGAGAATGCTGCTCCTGCAATATTAAAATTCACTTGCTAGACAGACAACCTCCACTTTCCAGTCCTACCATCCAAAGTCAAGATTACATGGAGCACCAAGTTTTGTCTTCACATGCTTGTTCAACATGGATACAAGCATGAACACAAAAGCATATTACCTACACAAGGCAGCATACTTTTTTAAAGAAAAAAAGTAACTTTTTTAAAAGCATTTACTACCTACCCAATCTACAAAGTCAGAACTTTTACAAGAGATCTGTTAGTAGCAGATATTCAGACATTCTCCCTGCTAAAGAACAGCTGTATCTTTTATCATCATTTTAAAAAAGCAAGGCTTTGTTTAGCAAATGAAATGGCATTTCTCACTGCAGTGAGAACAGAAAACTGAGACAAAGCAAGGGTCCATCTAGCACAGTACTGTGTTTCCAGCTCAATTACTATCAAGTATTTCAGGAAGATGGAAAACACACCTTTGTCTTCTTATTCCTGTCAATCAATCACAACAGCATTATTGTGTTCAACAAGAAAATTTCACAATCCCAGGCTGCCAGTGTTTACTGCTTCTGAAGCACGGTGTCTCTGTCATTTTTATTTTAGAGGAACTTAAACCAGTCTAGTTATATATTATCTAATAATGCCTTTATATAAATATGATGTCTATATTGGGAAATACAAAGGATTTTTGTATGACCCTATGGGATACCTAAAAATATAAAGTTACAATAATACCTGTTCTTATGTACTAGTCTAATACCTTTATGATTTATCTGGCTTACTTACCAAATTTAGACATGTGCAGTAAGTGCATTACTTGTTGTTCTGTATGTTGAAAATAAAACTCTGAAAAGCCCCAGAAAGAGTTTGTGATAAAGCTGCTTTGGACTCTAGGTGTCACTATAATTCCAGAAACAGTCAGCACAGAAATGTATTTTACCTCCTCCTCCACCTTGCTTTGTTCTCTTAAAGCATGTTTTGTGTTATTCACGTAGACAGTTTCCACAATTACCCTCCCATTACATTACATGGAATAATCCAAATATCGCATTTTGATTATAATAATTTCTTCATTTCTAGCAACTGATTTATACACTGACCAAACACCTTACCTGCCTCATCTCTTCTCCATGTGTTCCCCCCTCTAAAATTCAGGTTTCTGTAGGTGGGTCCAAACTGTTTTTAATTAGCTTCTAGAAGAAGTTACTTGAGCCATGAAATACTCTCCTCTGAATGTTCCAAGTATTTTTTTTTGTTGTTAAATATAAAGCAGATGTACATATCTAACGCTTGTTAAAATGTATCATCTTGTAGAGAACAGCTGAATGAAAATACTGAAATTCTAACATCATTTGTACATCATGAAGACAGTCTATTTCTTTAGACTACAGTTAAAACAGATCTTAAGTGGGAAAGCTTCAGTGGAATGACAGTAACTTTTGTGTGCACTAACTTCCATTGTCTAAAGAAGTTTATATGGGCCCATATCCATGACAGTGATAAATAGACAAACTGAGTATGTTTTTAAGTTTCAGAACAAACTAAGGAAACAAAACTGCCTTAAGCAAAGTGACTAATCTTCTACAAGTCCCCACCACAAACAAAAGTATGACTTTGGTTTACAAAATATCTTACAACAGATTTCTATTTTCAACAAGTAGGAATGACCAAATTCAACAATCACAGGTTTCCAGTCCCTTGGGATTTGTAACTTTAACACTTTAATCTCCTAGAGTATACTGGGAGGAGAGTAATGAAGGATATAAAGTGGACTTAGCACAGTTTCTTCCTAAAGTATCTACCTCCTATTGAGCCAGGAAGTTGCATGTGGTCTGTCATGTGGTTACCCAACAACATATAGAAAAGTAGATGCTGCATGCAATAGCGATTGCAAAACAGAATGGCACTAGTTTTAAAGGTATACAAACAAAAAAGCCACCCAAATAACTTCTTCTGTTCTAATATGCCAATAAAAGACCAGAAAAACACTGCTGTTATTTAGAGTTTTAAAGCATTTTTAAAAGAGGAAGCCATACTGTTCCACATTATAAGAACAATAAGTTGTAACCAAATATGCTTGAAATACTGTACAGATGCATAAGTCAACTCCGCTATCTTATTTAAAACACACGACTTTTCAGAATAGTTAAAAAATTATATGCTCAAATACGGTTATTTTAAGAAGTTCTTCATCTGATGGCATTATTTTTTACAATTAAAACTCCCCCCCCCCCCCCCC